TTTTGGGTTTCAACTTAATTTTCTTTTTGCTTAAGTATAGAATATGTGGAATTAAAAACTACATACATATATGAAAAGTTTAGTAAATCGATTCGTAATTTAGCAAATATTTATTTCGTTTAATAATTGCAACATATTGATGTGTGAGATTTTAATTCATTAACAAATTATATTCTATTTAGTTCAGTAGAAATGAAAAGACTGGGTTCAACATTTGAGTTGAGACTTGAATGTACTTGTAATTCCATTTTCAGTGAAGTCTTCCAAAATGTATAAGCAATATTTTCTCAGTGTATAGCGTTATCCGTGTGCGTGAGTTTCTACGCATACCGTAACCTGCTAGTCTAGGTAATGGTGACTGCTTTGCATTGCTTTGCTCTGCCTGGATGTGTAAACACTGCAGGCTCACTGTTCATGTATCCTGAGTGCGTGTGCACGTGTGTGTGTTTGTGTGTGTTAATGTTTATTATTTTCACTACTCAATTAAGTTTAATTAATTTTGAAATTGATAATTGCTCGCCATGGCACGTCAGCGCTGTGTAGGGCAAGACGCGGCATTGCAGTGCAGGGCCAAAGCACGTTGTGCATTTGACAGGGATCTATAGTAGCTATAGTCCCTGAAAAGCGCTGCAAGTGTTTGGCTGCCAGTCAAAACACAGACAGAGTGGAGGACTGGTGGTGATGGTGATGAGGTGGCATGTGTGCGTCGCTTTATGCAAATGCAATTAAAATTTCAACAATGCAAACATTTACTTCCGTTGCAACAAATGTTGTCCTCCTCGTCGCCGTCAACGTCATCGTCATCGTCGATGGCAACGTCATTATTTGACTGCGTCTTTGCACGTACGTTCCCCCTCCGATCCCCTTTATTGCACACCTTTCATAGAGCGTGGCTGCTGCTGCAGCTTTACCTGCAACCAAGGCCTTTTACCATGGCTTTGGTTTGCCATTTGTCGCTTCTTTGCCGCATCCCTGGCCGCAATTTGGCGTTTTGCATTAGTGTGTTTGTCTTGAGATAATTGTATGACTATATGTAATTGTATTTGCATGCGTGGGGGCGTGCGAATGAGCGGTTGTATGTTAGTGTGCATGTATGCATATATGTACATATGTACGTTTGATACATGTCATTGAAACGTCTGCCATTGCAACATATCCTTTCAAAGCCAGCAGCCACAACTAATGAGGCAGGCGTGAAGCGTGCGCGTTCTGCATAATTGCAACTTGTGTACGTGTGGGTGTGTTTGTGTCTGTACATGTTGTGTGTGGACATGTTGATCCTTTGAGTTATATCAACTAAAACTTGCAGCAACCTAGTCTGCCTCTAATAAGGCTGATTATGGTTGCCATTATAGCAGCAAAGGGACGAGGCAGAAAGAGTAGGGTAGCTAACAGTTTGTTGCATTTAGCGGCATTTTAGCGGCATTTTAGCGGCACGATTGCAATTAAATCTGTTTTATTGCTATGCGTTGCAATTCCAGCGAAACAACCAAACAAAAATACCAGCCAAGTTGTGCACATTTTTTACAATCAACATTAAAAAGCGGGGCAGCAAAGTCAAATGATTGGGGCTGTGGCTGGGGTTGGGGCCATTCCATCTTCATCAAAGGCATGCGCGTTCAGCAACGGCAATGTGAGTAATCGAATGGAGTTTTGTATGCATATGTAGAATTATTCCATACAGTGAGCATTTAGATTAATGAAATAATTGGTAAATGTTTCAATTATTTTGCTTAAAAGAGTTTTTTAATTTTATAAAGATTGATCGATGTGCAGCAACATTTCCAGTAACATAAGTACAGACTGCATTCTAGGGATAGATTAAAAACACTTTACTCCCACCTTTCATTTGTGGATTTTTGTGAATTTTTAAAACTCTCAATCCTCAATTCTGTGCGTAATGTAAGGACAATAATATCTTGATGAGTCTTTTATTACATTATATGGTATGTCTACTGTATACATACATATGTATTTATGCGTAAGTACATCTGCAGTTTCTTATGTGACGTGCGGGTTTTGCGTAGCAGCACAAATGTTGCATGCTGCACTTTTCGATTGCCTTTCAATTGCCAGGCAGATCTTTATGTACTTATAAATAGCCAGCCCGTTGCCTGACTGCCCCAACTGCTCAGACCCATAATTTATGGCAAGTGCTGTGCTTGGGCTCGGCAGCATTTGGGGCAGTTGAGCTGCCTGTCGCCGAGTTCATCAAGTGGCATGGGAAAATATAAATATGGTGGTTGCAACTGCCCTCGAGTGCCTGCCTGAGGATGGCTCGAGAAGAAAAAAAGGCGGCGCTCTCTCCACCCATGAGTCATGTAAACAATTCAAATACCGAGCCGTTTGGTCTCAGGTGTGAAGTCAATGTAATTACTATACTGATATGTAAATATATTTATATGTGTGGACTCGTACATACAAGTATATACCATACATAAGAAGGCGCTGTTTAGATTTGTTCAACGTGCCACATATATAAGTTGTTTTTTCTTAATCAAAAAATTCAGAGTGTGGTTTGATCTTGCTATTGGTTTGGGTTAAGTGCACGCACTTGTGGTGCTCATTGTTTTTGTTTATGGTTGTTGTTGCCGCTAATTAGCAGCGTCTTATTTATGAATACTTATGCAATATTTTTGGAAGTAGCGTTGCACTTGTTGCTGTTTGGTTTCGAAATATACATACATACTGGTATGTGAGGGTGAATGGATCTGTGCTACTTAGGAATGATGCTATAGAAAAGTATGCGATAGCGAACATCAAGTCATTAGCATTGTGAATTAGGATATTGTAAATTAGGATATTGACGATCAATGACAACTGTTGCCAGTTTTTGATCTTTTGTGAATTCCGAAACTTTTCCCGAATTTGTTTTAAAATAAATCGAAATACAACTAAGTGGTAGTCATAGCCTTAATGTACAAGCAGCTTACAAGCACATGCTTTCAAATGACTAGTTTTTTAAACACGATGTTTACTAGAAAGAACGGTCGTATTTAGTCTATTTAATTATGTAACACTGTATTTAAACATGCTTCTCGGAGCTGATTTAAGAAACTTTCATTTCTTCTAAGATCGCGTTGCATACAGCAGGTATTTGTGTAAACAGGCACGAGTTCGGGTGTTGGCCCCACAATATTTGCAACTAGTACTCCCTAAAGGTTTTTTTTGGATGTAGATCTAGCTGAATAACACAATGAACAATGGTCGGCATTGTTTACGGCCGGGCTTGCCTGTTAATTGGCAGCCACGTGTGCGCTATTTTTCAGCAGCCCACAACTGTGGCTATTGCGGTCTGGAATGCCTTGATCTTGGCCACTACCCATTCACATGGGCCAATGCAGTCAATTGCTTTTGGGACAATAGCTAGACATGCCATGCCATTAGGTATAAAGCCTCATCTGTTGTTGTACGGTTTCCGCTGAATCTAGCGCTTCCGCCATTTTGTTGTTGTTTTTTTTTTTTTTGACATTTATGTGGAGGATTTAGTTAACATATCGCTGTTGTTGTTGCTGCTGCTGCTGTTTCATTTGATGATTGCGCCAACTGTTTATGTTTGGTGTCACGTGGTATCCGCTGCGACCGCATGTGTTCACAACAGCAACAACCGCATGCTTTCTTACAACTTTTCTGGACTTTAGAGCACAAATGTTGATGTTGAAAAGATTTTGCGTAATCAGCAACATAAATCTGGAAGCATGGGAGCCCAGGAAGAGTTCCAGCTACTTTATGATTTTGCCTTTTGGTTATTGCTGGGTCAGCATATTCTTACTAGCTGCCCAATTAATAGCGTGCCTGCTTCTTTTCGCGTATCCTGTTTGCGTGACGCAATGATACAGCGCGCGCCTGGGCGACGCCAACGTCTCTGTTGTTGCTGCCTCCTTGTTGGCCAGGCTCAATGGACTGTGAAATGTGTGCCGTGCTGTTGTCATTGCCGCTGCCATTGTCGTGGCGCACTTGCCAAAGCAATAGGTGTCCTGGCATTGGTTTCAAAAGGGAAATGCGCTCAAATTGCATTAAAATGCCAACACAGAAGCATAAAAATTATGGCCACACTTGGACCGCCGCGCTCCAGCTTCACCACACGGCGTTCGCTTGTCATAAGCAGTACTCCTGCTGGGACCGCCAGTCTGCCAGTTCTTTCAGCCCTTTCAGCCAGTTCTGCCATACTGCCATTCTGCCATACTGCCAGCCAAGCAGTCGAAGGCGTCCAAGTGTAACAAAACGGAGCTGCACGCAGCGTCAGAAATTAAATTGGCAAAGCACCAACAAGCACCAGGCAACGTGCAACATTGAACGCTTTTGACATATTCACGCGCTTCTTCGTCCTTGCCGCTCCCAATGATGTCGGCATTGGCCGGCGTCACCCTGTCTGCGGCATAATCATATATTCTCCGACTAGTACTTATTATTTGGTTTGCTTTCTGTGTCTCCCTTTTTTATTTTTGGCAAATCGGCAGGAAGCACTGCTAAATTATGTCTTGTTTATATGGCATTGCATATTTATGACCTGCACGGCGTGTAATAAAATAAGAAATTGTTTCAAAGAAATTGCAAATTTTACTTGACCATGCAGCAATCCTCTGCCCAAAGTTTTGTTCGCCTTCTGTGCGCTGCAAGCGAAAACAAGTTCAATGTTTGTTTATCCAGCGTGCACAGCATAAACAAGTTCATGATGTTGTTGCGGCTTGTGCGAAGCCCTACAAAAGATTTTTTGCACACCTTCGCTTGCCGACGTCTTTTGAGAAAGTATAGTAGTTGACAAGTGACAGACTTGGTCTCTCAAATGCTTGGCCCGCCTGTGACCACCAGCATCTTGACCATCCACTGTGTGTTGCGGTTTTAATGATTGTGGGGAAGCATGCGGGCAAGTAAACAAATATTTGCAACAAGTTAACATAGTTGCTTTAATGAATGAAGCTGGCTAACTTTTCTTATTGTGCGTTGAGGGAGGCTGGGTTTGTGAGCATGTTATTGAATTAAGCCCTCTTTATTTGCAGCTCAAATGCCTTGGTATTATTCATTGTACTGATATGCCTGAAAGACTCACAGAGTAGATTTGTAAGTATAAAAAACATACCCCAACCAATTTGAGTTTTAGATTAATACACCACAATTACGATACATAGCATGGCCAACGTGCAAAAAGAGAATATGGCGCAAATATGTATTTGCCTGCCAGCTCGGTAACGCCTGGAGGCGAGGGTAATGATCCTTACGAATGGACAGATTGGAGCTCACCGTCAAGTTGCTCACGCACCTGCGGCGGTGGTGTTTCTTACCAGACGCGAGAGTGTCTGCGCAGAGAGTAAGTAAATGTGCAAGCTTCTTCACTTTTCATTCATAACTATGGTATTTATTTTAAAGCGTTAATGGGGAAGCTGCATGCAGTGGCGGTGATCGTAAATACTACTCGTGCAACACACAAGATTGTCCCGAAGAAGAGCCCGATTTTAGAGCGCTTCAGTGTTCTCGTTTTGATGACGTCAAATTTGACGGCGTCTTACACACATGGGTACCCTATATCAATGCGGCGAAGCCTTGTGAGTTGAATTGTATGCCCAAAGGAGAACGTTTCTATTACCGTCAGAAGGAAAAGGTTGTGGATGGCACACGCTGTAATGACAGAGACCTGGATGTGTGTGTAGATGGAGAGTGCATGCCTGTAGGCTGTGATATGATGTTGGGCTCGGATGCTAAGGAAGATAAATGTCGCAAATGCGGGGGTGATGGCAGGACTTGCAAGACCATCCAGAACACATTTAGCACAGATAATTTGGCAGCTGGCTACAACGATATATTGATTGTTCCAGTAGGAGCAACCAATATTCGTATACAGGAGACAGCACCTTCTAACAACTATCTTGCCTGTCGCAATCTGACTGGGCACTATTACTTGAATGGTAACTGGCGCATTGATTTCCCACGTCCTATGTATTACGCGGGCTGCTGGTGGAACTATCAGCGCAAGCCTACTGGTTTTGCAGCTCCAGATCAGTTAACATGTAGCGGACCTATTTCCGAGTCTCTATATGTAGTTATGCTGGTGCAGGACAAGAATGTCAGTATTGACTATGAGTATAGCATACCAGAAGAAGTGAGTCAGAGTCAGCCCGACGTGCACACGTGGACCCATAGAGAGTTTGGCCCGTGCAGTGCTTCCTGTGGCGGTGGTACTCAGTCGCGTGAGGTGACGTGTAACAACCGCGTCAGCCTGCAAGACGTCGAAGAAAGTCTGTGCGATGCCCAGAATAAGCCAGCTGAAAGCCAGGAATGCGGTATGGAGCCCTGTGCACCGCATTGGGTCGAAAGTGATTGGACAAAGTGCTCGAAAGGTTGCGGCTCAGATGGTTTCCAAAACAGAACCGTCACCTGTGAGCGTATCTCTCCTACTGGGCAAGTATACGTACCTGTTCATATAAGTTGTACTTATTATATATGATAATATTTACAGTGAACATACCCTTGAAGAAGATGCAGTTTGCTTGAAACAAGTTGGCAACAAGCCTGCCACAACACAAGAGTGCAATCGCGATGTCAAGAACTGCCCCTCTTATCACTTGGGTCCATGGACACCATGCGACAAATTATGTGGGGAAGGCAAGCAGACACGGAAAGTAACGTGCTTTATCAAGGAAAATGGACGCAAGCGTATACTGCCCGAAGAAGATTGTGTTGAAGATAAGCCTGAGACAGAAAATACATGTATGCTGGCACCTTGTGAAGGTGTTGATTGGATCATATCACAGTGGAGTGGTGTAAGATATGATACAAAACCCCCTAGATTTGACATTCAGAGTTGAAATTGGTTGTTTTAATTTTAGTGTGACGCCTGTGGTCAAAACACAGAAACGCGTACGGCTTTTTGTGGCTCAAAGTCTGGCAAAGCTTATCCTGACAAATTTTGTGAGCCGGAAGTTCCAACACTATCCCGGACATGCAAGTCGTCAAAGTGTGAGACACAATGGTTTACATCGGAGTGGAGCAAGTGCTCTGCGCCCTGTGGGAAAGGCGTACAATCACGTATAGTCATTTGTGGAGAATTCGATGGTAAAACAGTTAAGCCCGCTGCTGATAACTCAAAATGCGATGCCTCTACGAAACCCGAATCAGAGCAAGAATGTGAAGGCGAGGCAACGGAATGTCCAGGTGAATGGTTCACTGGACCTTGGGGCAAATGCAGCAAACCTTGTGGAGGCGGAGAACGTGTTCGCGAAGTATTGTGTTTGTCGAATGGTACAAATTCAATAAATTGTGATGAATATAAGATTGAAGCACTATCGGAAAAATGTAACACTGAGCCATGCTCGAAAGATGAGTTGCTACCTCTCACAAGTACTGATAAGCCTATCGAAGATGAAGAAGAAGAATGTGGCGATGAAGACGAAGATGAAGAAGATTTGCTTACAGATAGCTCCGGTGAAACAGATACTACCGATGCCATTGACTTTGATGGAGAATCAAGTACCTTGAGTACACTTAGAAGCGATGACTTGATGTACAGTGACTCTGCTTCGACTATAGACGATTCATCTGTTTCTAGCGATGTTACTGGCAGCACACTTGAAGGATCAGGAGATACAGACAAAACATCAGACAGCAGTTTTTCGACGGAGGGTAGTGGAGATGAATCTGAGGGTACGACTGATTTCACTGGTACTACCTCAAGTCGCGATGCTTCCAGTTCAACCGATCAATCCGGATCGACCGTTTCAGGAGCATCTAGTGAATCAACCGCCTCTGGGTCCACAGAATCAAGTGTATCTGACGGATCAAGTGAAACAACACCTTCGGGATCAACCGGATCCAGTGCATCAGATGGATCTAGTGAAACAACTGTTTCCGGAACCACAGACTTCACCATTTCTGGAGCTTCTAGTGAATCAACGGTTTCAGGATCAACTGATTCCAGTTCTTCAGGTGGATCTACTGATTCATCTGAATCGACTATTGCAGGATCTTCTAGTGGATCAACTGCATCAGGATCGACAGAATCGACTGTTGCAGGATCTTCTAGTGAATCAACTGCTTCCGGATCTACAGAATCAAGTGTTTCAGCTGGATCTACTGAGACAACTGTTTCAGGATCAACAGATTCAAGCGTTTCGGATGAGTCTAGCGGTTCAACTGCATCTGGGTCGACAGATTCAACGATTTCAGGAGCCTCTAGCGAGTCAACCGTATCTGGATCAACTGAGTCGAGTGTATCAGATGGATCTAGTGAGACAACCGTATCAGGATCAACAGGATCAAGCGTATCAGACGCGTCCAGCGCCTCAACAACATCTGGATCAACGGCGTCGACAGCTTCAGGAGTTTCTAGTGAGTCAACTGTTTCTGGTGCAACAGATACAAGTGTTTCAGATGGGTCCACTGAATCAACTGTATCCGGATCGACGGAGTCGACTGTTTCAGGAGCTTCTAGTGAATCTACAGTATCAGGATCATCCGAGTCAACTGCATCAGAATCAACAGATTCAAGTGTTTCAGATGAGTCCAGTGAATCAACAGTATCCGGATCCACTGATTCTACTGTTTCGCAAGGATCTAGTGAATCTACTGCATCTGGAACAACAGAATCCAGTGTTTCAACTGAATCAGAGTCTACAGAATCAAGTGTTTCAACTGAATCTAGCCAATCAACTGAATCAGAGTCTACAGAATCAAGTGTTTCAACTGAATCTAGCCAATCAACTGAATCAGAGTCTACAGAATCGAGTGTTTCAACTGAATCCAGCCAATCAACTGAATCGGAATCTACAGAATCGAGTATTTCAACAGAATCGAGTGAATCGACTGCTTCAGGATCAACAGAGTCGAGTGTGTCGGACGGTTCCAGTGAGACAACTGCATCAGGATCAACAGAGTCGAGTGTCTCAGATGGCTCAAGCGAATCGACTGTGTCAGGTTCTACGGACTCGACTGTCTCAGGAGCATCCAGTGAATCAACTGTTTCAGGATCAACAGAATCAAGTGTGTCGGAAGGCTCCAGTGAGACAACTGCATCAGGATCAACAGAGTCGAGTGTCTCAGATGGCTCAAGCGAATCGACTGTGTCAGGCTCAACGGACTCGACTGCCTCAGGAGCATCCAGTGAATCAACTGTTTCAGGATCAACAGAATCAAGTGTGTCGGACGGTTCCAGTGAGACAACTGCATCAGGATCAACAGAGTCGAGTGTCTCAGATGGCTCAAGCGAATCGACTGTGTCAGGCTCTACGGACTCGACTGTCTCAGGAGCATCCAGTGAATCAACTGTTTCAGGATCAACAGAATCAAGTGTGTCGGAAGGCTCCAGTGAGACAACTGCATCAGGATCAACAGAGTCGAGTGTCTCAGATGGGTCAAGTGAAACGACTGTGTCAGGTTCTACGGACTCGACTGTCTCAGAGTCTTCTAGTGAATCAACTGCTTCGGGCTCTACAGAATCGAGTGTTTCAGCTGGATCTAGTGAGTCTACTGAGTCAGGATCAACAGGTTCAAGCGTTTCGGATGAGTCTAATGGTTCAACTGCATCTACTGAGTCGAGTGTTTCAGATGGATCTAGTGAGACAACTGTATCAGTATCACCAGGATCAAGCGTGTCAGATGGGTCCAGCGGCTCAACAGCATATGGATCAACGGAGTCGACTTCTTCGGGAGCTTCTAGTGAATCAACTGTATCTGGTGCAACAGATACAAGTGTTTCAGATGGATCAAGCGATTCAACTATCACTGGTTCAACTGAAACAACTATTTCAGAATCAACTGATACGAGTGGAGGTTCAACGGTATCCGGTTCTACAGAATCAAGTGGTAGCACAACTCTGGGATCATCTGGGTCCACAGAAAGTGGTTCTACAGATGACACAACGGAAAGTGGCTCGACTGAAGAAAGCACTTCTGAAGGTTCCTCATTATCAACAGAAGAAGGTACAACAGAAGATATCTGGAGTTCTTCTGATGATGGAGAAAGTAGCACTCCCAATACTTGGGAAACAGCTATTACTTCCAGTACAACTCGTAAATGTAAGCCAAGAAAGAAGAAGAGTTGTAAGAAGTCTGAATATGGTTGCTGTCCCGATGGTAAGTCTACCCCTAAGGGACCATTTGATGAAGGATGCCCGATTGCGAAAACTTGCGCTGATACCGAATACGGATGCTGCTTGGACGGTGTTTCACCAGCAGAAGGCGAGAAATATAAGGGCTGTCCGAAGTCTCAGTGTGCGGAGACGCTGTTTGGATGTTGTCCAGATAAATTCACACCTGCTGAGGGCGAGGACGATGAAGGCTGTCCAGAACCAACAACCTTGCCACCCACTACAACTGAAGAGTATTCGACCACTGAATTGGAAGGTTCTGGTGAAGGGTCGGGAACCACAGATGGTGATGTTGTTAAATCATGCAGTTTCGAAAAGCATGGCTGTTGTCCTGATGGTAAGACTGCTGCAGAGGGAGAGAACTTCCTAGGCTGTGAACCAGTTATACAATCGGCTCCAGAAGGCTGCGAACAGACTCAGTACCGTTGCTGTCCAGATGGCCGTACACCTGCTTCTGGACCTGATAATCAAGGTTGTGCAGCTTGTATGCGTGAACAGTTTGGTTGCTGCCCCGACAATGAGACACCAGCTCATGGTCCACTTGGCGAGGGTTGTTGCTTGAATTCTCCATACGGTTGTTGTCCCGATAACATAAATAGTGCTCGTGGACCAAACTTCCAAGATTGTGATTGCGCATATACGCCGTACGGCTGCTGTCCAGATAAAAAAACAGCAGCACGAGGTCCAGAAAATGAGGGCTGTGCCTGTGAGTCAACTCCACATGGCTGCTGCCCCGACAAAATCACCGCTGCAAAGGGACCGAAGTTTGAGGGATGTCCATGTGAAACCATGCAATTCGGGTGCTGTCCCGATGGTCTTACTTTGGCCCAAGGTCCAAATCATTATGGATGTCATTGCTCACAGACTGAGCATAAGTGTTGTGAAGATGGAAAGACTCCCGCAAAGGGTCCAAGAGGAGAGGGTTGCACATGCTTGGAAAGTAGATATGGCTGCTGTCCTGATGGAATTACGAGCGCGCAGGATGATAAGTTCGGCGGATGCGAGAATGTACAGGAGCCACCTCAGAAGTCCTGTGGTCTGCCTAAGGAAGCCGGTGGCTGTGGTAACTTCAGTGTCAAATATTTCTACGACACGGGTTATGGAGGCTGCGCAAGATTTTGGTATGGCGGTTGTGATGGAAATGCAAATAGATTCGATACTGAAGCTGAATGTAAGGATACCTGCCAAGAGTATGACGGGCAGCACGTCTGCCTGCTACCAAAAAGCTCTGGTCCTTGCCAGGAGTTCACCAAAAAATGGTACTTCGATGCTGATCGTAATCGCTGTGAAGAATTCCGGTATGGCGGGTGTTATGGAACAAAGAACCGCTTCGACAGCTTGGAGCAGTGTCAGTCAAGATGTTCAATCAGTGACAGTGTTCGTAAGTAAACGCCAAAGGCGTAATATTTTGTATAAAAAGTTTTGAATTTTATAATTGCTTTCAGCACCATGTGAACAACCCGCGGAGAGCGGACCTTGCGCTGGTAATTTCGAGCGTTGGTACTATGATAATCAAACCGATATTTGCCGTCCCTTCGTCTACGGTGGTTGCAAGGGTAACAAAAACAACTATCCGACGGAGCATGCCTGCAGCTACAGCTGTCGGCAACCAGGTGTACTTAAAGGTTTGAAAATTCTGATATCAAGTATATAACATTAATTAATGATTATCGGTGCTTGTGATATTAATTAAAAATGTGCAATTAACAGTAGGCTTAGTAATAATTTGTTAAACATATTGATTTACCTGGCATAACGGTATGTTTTTATTTAATTTTTTCCCTATGCACTCTACCTTTGATTGCTTTATTGAATGCGAATGCTTTTGTGTGCTTGTTCTTTGCTTGCTACCAACCTATTTGCATCCCTTGTCACCTACTCACAATAAATGATACGTAATAAGACCACTGCTCACTACCAAAGCAAACCGGTGATTGCAGTGAAAAGCAAGCCAAATGGCACTTCTCACCGACCGAGCAGCGTTGCTTGCCATTCTACTACACCGGTTGTGGTGGAAACAAAAACAATTTCCCCTCATTGGACTCATGCGAGGATCATTGTCCCCGGCAAGTTGGTAAGCTTTAAATGTTGTAGCGGCTCGCGCATTCACCTAAAGCTGCTTTCAATGTTTGCTCCGATTTCAACTACAAACTATTTTCAATACATATATTTTTAATGTTTTTCAATTAGCCAAAGACATTTGTGAAATACCTGCCGAAGTTGGTGAATGCTCCGACTATCAACTACTGTGGTACTATGACATCAAAGACGCAGCTTGTCGCCAATTCTACTACAGCGGCTGTGGTGGCTCTGAGAACCGATTCACTAGCGAAGAAGCCTGCTTGGCACGATGCGAAAAGAAACCTGAACCGACACCACCACCACCACCCCCAGCACAGGTCGATGTATGTTCCGAGCCCGAGAGTGTTGGAGATTGTTACGAGTATGTGCTCAAGTGGCGCTATGATATAGAAACAGGAAGGTGTCGACAGTTTTTCTATGGAGGATGCGGGGGTAATGGCAACCGCTTCGAAACGGAGACAGACTGCCTGCAGAAATGTGATCGGCCAGCGCAACTACCACCACAGAGACCTGCGCCACAACCACAGCCTCAACCTCAGCCTCAGCCCCAACCGCAACCACAGCCAACGGGTGATTTGTGTGATTTGCCTGCTAGCGTGGGTGATTGCGATCAATATGACCTGCTATGGACATTTAACACAACTACAGGACTTTGTGAACAGTTCTACTATGGAGGTTGCGGTGGCAATGATAATCGATTTAAGGCTGAAGAGGATTGTTTGGCTCGTTGCAGTCCCAGAATAGAAAACCGCATAGGCGAGCCAGAGGAGCAGCCACAGGAAAGCGTGCCTCAGACAGATACGGCGAAGTGCTTCCTTCCGGCAGTCTCAGGAAATTGCTACAACAACGAGACACGTTGGTACTACAATAGCCAAGAAGGTCTTTGTGACGAATTCATATATACTGGCTGCGATGGAAATGAGAACAGCTTTGCAAACGAAGATGATTGTCAAAATGAGTGCTTAGACGCACAAAGTACATGTTCGCTACCACCAGTTCGTGGTCGGTGTGATGAAGTGTCGCATCGCTGGTACTTCGATCAGGGCACTGGCGGCTGTTACGAGTTTGAATTCACGGGTTGTCGTGGTAATCGAAACAACTTTGTTACAGAGGCGTTGTGTTTGAGCTACTGCCGCGGCGGTCAACAGCCCCCGGAGCAAGAACCTCCAGCACCGGTAAGTTAAGAAAGCAAGAGTGTATCAATCCATTAATTGTGTGCTTTTTAGACATATTCCGTGTGCGACCTGGCACCAGAAGCTGGAGAATGCTACAATCAAACAACTGCTTGGTTCTATGACAACGAAAAAATGGCATGTACTGCCTTCATCTATACGGGATGTGGTGGTAATGGTAACCGGTTTGAGACACGTGAACAATGCGAGCGCCAGTGCGGCGAGTTTAAGGGAGTTGGTAAGTTTTTCTTATTAACTAATAGTTGCTCCAGTTGCTTTAATATGTTATGTCAGACGTGTGCAATGAGCCGGTCACCTCTGGCCCTTGTACGCAGTGGGAGACCCGGTACTACTACAATCGCACACAGAATACATGCGATCCATTTACGTATGGTGGCTGTGATGGCACGGGCAACCGCTTTAATGATCGCTACGAGTGCGAGACGGTATGCATCGGTGGCCGCGAGCCGCAGCCATCGGGTGTTTCCAGAGGTAACTTTGAACTGGGTCCTTTTGTACAGTAACCTTGGCTAACCCAAGATTTTGGTTTCTCTTCATGTAAGTAGATATCTGTCGTTTACCGGTACAAATTGGTCGCTGCAACGGCCAAGTTGTAGCGGAACGCCGTTGGTATTATAATGATGAAGTCGGCAGCTGCGTACCTTTCATTTACTCTGGATGCTCGGGCAATCAGAACAATTTCCGTTCGTATGAAGCATGCACTGGTCAATGCGGACGTAAGCCTGAGACCTTCCACTTAACTGCTGCACCTACCCACAGCACTTTGCACCTTTTCACTCTCCACCCTGCACAAATTTTGCACCTTGCTCACTTGACTTTTCTAAGAATGTCGAAAACATAGTTTATAAGAGTAGAAACATAGATAATTATTTTGTGCTTGCTCATAGACCATATTGCTAATTTTGTATATTCTTAGGGTATTTGATTTTTTTTTTTATTGTGCATCCTTATTAATTAAACATTGTACATGTTTTGCAGAGCCTATCGAACGCAACGAAATAACGAATAACGAAATTGAACCTGAGCCAAACCGTTGTGAGACCTACGAAAATAACTGCCGTGATTTGCGTTGTCCTTATGGTGTCCGTCGCGAAGCTGCACGATCGGATCCCGATTGTACGCAATGTGTATGTGAGAACCCTTGCGATGACTACTCTTGTCCGGAGAGTCAACAATGCGATGTTGAAGTGTCGAATACTGACAATCGCCAATTCGTGCCCGTTTGTCGAGATATTAATAAGCCCGGAATCTGCCCACAGCTAATTGCTAACGCTAGTAACTGTATAACCGAGTGCTATACCGATGCCAACTGTCGCGGTGATAATAAATGCTGCAACGATGGCTGTGGAAATTTGTGCGTTCGTCCAACGCAGCCAACACGTCCAACGTTATCCCCGACTACGCCAGCACCAGTGATAATATATCCAGGAGAAGTGAAGGCTGCACTAGAGCCAAGAAAACAACAGGAATTAGACGTACAGACCTCACTGGGTGGCATTGCGGTGCTACGCTGCTTTGCTACAGGTAACCCGGAGCCAAATATAACCTGGTCGCTGAGGAATGTTGTGGTTAGTCTATAAATATATTGTACATTTAGTTGATTCCTTACACTGTCCCATCTTTATAGATTGACACCAATCAAGGACGTTATGTGCTCATTTCAAATGGGGATTTAACAATAGTCCAGGTGCGTCAGACTGATGATGGCACCTACGTGTGCGTAGCCAGCAATGGGCTAGGCGAGCCAGTGCGTCGTGAAGTAACATTGCAAGTAACAGGTGCGTTCCATTTCAAAAATATATATGTATGTTTTATTTTGGTGTTGGCTTCTTGACTAACTCTAATGCATGAACCTTTTATGCATGTTTGTTGCTTATAATCCATTGTTGCGCTGGGCAGAGCCCCAAGATATACCTGCCTATATTTACGGTCCTAAGAACGCTACCCAAATTGTTCAACTCAACCGGCCCGCTCTGGTGCGTTGCCCCGCGGGTGGTAATCCAGCGCCGGATGTTAGCTGGTGGCGTTACAACAAACGTTTCCGATTGATCGGAGAGCGTCATGAGATGACGCGCGAATACTCGTTGTTCTTCAAGTCCATTCAGTTGTCCGACCTCGGTCCGTACACATGCGATGCTTATAACAAACGCGGCCGACCTGTCTCACTAGTTGTCACACTGAAGGCTGTGGGGCCAGCACGTGCGGTGACCAATGCAGATGCACAATACTTGAAATATGTTTTAGACCCAGCGACGGCACCCGCTACACGTAGACCTAACTATCCCTATCGCCCGTCACGCCCCATATATGTGCCCCCACCATCGCCTGTAGAAATTGCACCACAACGAAGTAAGTAAAATGCATGGCATGATTTGGATTGGTGTTGAGTTTGTGTTCGTTTTTGGGTTTTTACAACAAATAATAAATTTGCTTAAATCTTCCATCACAGTAAGTGCACAAGCCGTGCTTGGCTTAGATCCGCAGAATAGCTACACGCCTGGCTCCACTATTGCCATGAGCTGTTCTGTTCAGGGTTATCCTACTCCGGATGTCACATGGACCAAGGACTCCTTGCTCCTAAGACCTGATGGACGTGTGCAAATAACATGTATGTTTTTTCGTATATTTTATTTAGATTTATTTACTTGTATATACTTTTCTTAAAATGTTTCGTTCTGTATGGCTTATAGACGAACCCCATCGTTTGGTGATTAGCAACGTAACAGCAGAAGATACTGGAGTTTATGGCTGTACAGCACGTAATTCTTATAGTTACAGCACCAGCGAGGATAATATTCGAATCGAATGTAAGTTTCTCAAAATGAAATATACGATGTCTTACTTACCTGAGCATCTTTTTAGCTGTCATACCGGTGTCCCCAGAATGCATTGACAATCCCTATTTCGCTAACTGCAATCTGATTGTCAGGGCTCGCCATTGCCAGAACCATTACTATGCCAAGTTCTGTTGCAGATCTTGTACATTGGCTGGCCAAATTGCCGCACCACATCCAAATGCCGTTTAGGAACGGCAGTCAACACCGATTGTTCCGGCAAAATTCCACTTAGTTTTGCAACAAAGCCTTAAATATTAGTTTTAAATAGATTTTCGTATTGAATTGAATCAACCAAGAATACATAGTGAGCAGGTTCACACAACATGCGTATCCTCAGGCCCCAGTGGCCCGTTTTAAAGCAGAAACCAAAAAACCGTATACCGGCAAGGCAATAGATCAAATCAATAATTAATTTAGTATATGGTTCTTTTACCCCAACAGCAAATAGTATTAGCATTTTATGTTTTGTTCCTATTTATTCTTGAATAACAGTTAATTCAATCCGTAGAACAAGTGGCTACAACGAATTTTCAATTAATTTTAGTTTTCATTAAATCTAAAACATATGTACATTAGTGCGTTGTCCAACGCATTTACACGTGTATAAATATAACGATTGTAAATAAATTAAAAATAATAAAAAGTTGCAATTCACGAAGCAAGAGAAAATAATAAAACTATCCTCAATTGATTATACATTAATATTTTTTTATTCAATATACGGCTGACAATGTACATGTGGGTTTTATCTTTGAACATCAAATAAATAAAGATCGAATTCAAATGTTTAAATTCCTATATCGAATATGTGAGCTAAAAATTTACAGATTTAAATCATTAGGCTCAACAAATATATTCAAAAAATTGGATTGAAAAAATTACAAATAAATGGTAATACTATAGATTATTAATTATTAATAATTATTAAAAACAATTTCACTAGCTGAGCTTTTTTATAGAGTAAAAATAATGTTTAAAAACAATGAATCAGTCTGGCAACGTTTTTGGGGGGCAACGGACTATTGATTTTTCCCCGTGTTTTATCCGGCAGCTGTTTACTGACGCATGCGCTTTTTCCTATTGAGGTTGCTTGGAGTTTGGAGTTGGAAACAGTGCAAAAAAAGACAATAAAATTAGTTTGTGTTACCATAGCATTGAATTTTAGCCAACAAATATAGGAAAATACAAATCAGGGCTCTAATATGGAGGATAGTGGCATCGATAGCGAAGACAGACAGTCACAATCTAATATATATGAGGATGGTGCAGCGGGTTTGTTGGTAAGTACAATAGCACGACCCATGGGCAGACAAAATTGAAAACCTCCCTATTGCATAGAAAACTGCCAGCGGAGCGCCCAAGCATATGTCTGATTTGGAGTTTGAGGTGGCTTTTAGGGGTGCCGGCAAGGTGTATGCGCCCACAACTATAGAAATCGATGAGGATGAGTTGACTAATGGTCATGAACGCAACGAGCTGCCAAATACCTGCCGCATATTGCAACGCAAGCTAGAACTTAAGGTCGAGCGTGCCAGGCGCAACTATACGCAGTATCAGGAGGAGCAGGTACATATAAGGCAAAACCGGTCAGGGTTTCGGGTGTGCCCTAAAATATTTGTTCTCTGCAGGCTACCAAATCGCAATCGGCCACTCTTATACCCATTAATCGACTACCCATACCCGGCGAGTTGGAGCAGAAGCCGTTGGTCGACTACAAATCGGAGAGCAGCGATGAGGCGGAAGAAATTTCCTTCTTTCCCGCACAATTGAAGCATGCCAAACGTCGTCAGCAGAATCATGAGCTGACGGACACCTTTAGCATACAAGAAATGACCATTGATTCGGACCTGGACTCAGATGACAGTGGTGGCACGCAGAATCTAGAGCTGCTGTTGCCATCGATGAAATCAACCATCTTCGATAGGCTAAAGAGCTGTTTTGGCTGCTGGCGGCGCAGGTAGTGGTACGAACAAAGGCCAGAAAAAATCATTAAGTCCAGGCACAAAACACGTTATTGAGCGGCACCTCCTCGCACATCCAAGACAAATTATTGTATCTAGTTGCCAGTACAGTGATGTGAGCACTAACTTATTTGCATTATATTACAAAAAATCATACAAATAAATCAAATTCAAATTGGATTCAGTCTTTCTGTCATCTCTATGTGTCCGTGTTCAGCGTCAGACACACCCCCTGTAATATCCAATGGCTCAAGTCCTCGGTTGTTGCCAAATTCGCCTCAAAGACCAGGCCCACGCCCATGGCATTACGGCGCAGCGATGTGGTGTACACGGGTGCCAGGAAAGTGTTCTGCAAAAATTAAGTAGCGGGCATTTAAAATCAGAAACAATTAGCAGAGCTCTGGGCAATTAGGAATGGTGAAGTGCTGGAACGGGCATGTAATTTAGTGGGCAGCATTTAAACAAATATCAACGCGCCCTCGTTTGCTCCTCGTATATGCAGATACAAGCGCACATTAGTACTTGTCACTTGCAGGTGGCGAAGCAAGGACCACAGCGCCCTCTCGCCCACCAATTTCCATTCCTAACTTTTGTCTCCAAGCCCATACAAACCTGTAGCTTGAGTCGGTGTGCTTCAATGGGCTCCACTGCCAAAATGGCCAGCTCTTCGACCAGCACTTTGGGATGCGAACGCGCTAGCTGATTAGTCTGCATGTCAAAGCGTGCGCCTTCTATGTAGAGTCCATGCACATAACAGCCCTGCAAGCAAAAAAGTTGGGTGAACGATTAAAATGCAAACAGAATTCTTAATTACGAAATTAGTGCCAGACCATGCCCCTAAAGGGATGCCGAACGGTGTGGCTGCTGGTCACACAGGGGTCATAGTTTTGCATTTAGAACGACACTAAATTATGTACACTGTTTACCCACTAACGTTGTGTGATCCAGTTCATCCGGGCAGTTTTAAAAGTATTATAGATACTATAGACAATTTCTAATAATTACAAAAGAAAACTACTAAATATTGAATAGCAACTCGGATTTTAAAAGAAAATCAGTAGTTTTATCTCCGATCTCTGAGTAATTTCCAGGGAAAAAAATTCATTTGAAATGAAATTGTATCGTAAATGCAAGGGTGTTAGATTTAGTGAGAAAAATATTTCCCTCATACCAAAAAATAAGATTAAATAAGATAAAATCTGATTGGATCCATTTCGAAGCTTTTACATTTGCATTTGCACTGGCTTGGAACTAGGTGGCACAACTATCTCACTCACCGTTGGTGGACGCTCCTCGACATCATCAGGGTCCGCATAGCTGGTCACATAGGTGAAGAGGGTGGAGCGGTCTAGCGGCCAAGCATTTCGGCGGCAGGCAATCTATACATGTGTGTGTGTGTATAAATATGTGGGGAAGAGGATGAAAAGTTAGCTTTGGTGGCACCTAGGAGGGCTTGCAGTGGGTTACCTGCACCAGGGCTGTTAGATAGCTCTGCGGTATGTGCAGACCCGACAGCCACATGACGAGTGGCTCGCCAGACAACGACCAATACTTGTACTGCACAGCGCGTTGCTATGTGGAAAGCGGAAAAGTAAAGGCTGATTAGTGGACCCAAACTTGATTGATTTGCAGTAAGCTGATTAATGAGTAGAGGGTGTGCTTTAACCAACCTGCAAATGCACCAGCCAGCTCGCTAACTGTTTGCATGTGGCCGGCGCCAGTTTACTCCAAGCCTCTGGCAGCAAGCCATTGAACAATGAATTCGATATGTTGTCTAGTACATTATCCATTCCTATTTCGCCCGCTATGGCCTGTGAATACCCATATACAAATGCAATTAAATTAAAACGCATAAAAGTTGGAGTGAGGAAATGTGTGTGTGTGTGTCTGTGTGTATGGCAGCCTTTACAAAACAAAAGCCAAGTTCATTTGATTTTGTAAATTTATTTTGCCAACAAAATGCAGACGCTTTGTTTGTCGCATGAATGCAGCAGCGCATAATGGTCGAAACCCAATAAAACTGGTCAACGAAAAAATTGTTTAATTTTACATCAAATGTGTAGTACACATTTTTAACAGCAGGTGCTATCATTCTGGAGAATTTTAAATTTTTGTGGTAGCCCAAATGTCAATGTTTGACAAGTTGCTAGCCTTTATTAAATTACCACCCACAGATACGAGTATTCCGACAAAACCGACCAAGTTTACATACAAATATATGATAAGTGTTAGTATAAAGAATTTTTTTTGAATATTTTTTTGTTGTCAAAATGCGTTTTCAGTTTCTAGTATATAATAATAGCGAACTGCTTAGATGCATATGGTTTTAGGGCCAGCAAGGCCAAAATATCTATCAAGTGATATTTTAAGATTTGCTTTTGAACAACATAGGTTTGTGACTTTGAAACTTCTGACTCCTAAATAGAAGATTGAGTCTTTTTGTAGATTCCACTGTGCAACAGTGCAGTCAAATTTGCCTGTGGGTGGGTGTGGTTATTGTTGTGTTTTTTCTGGCTATTGAAGGGACCTGTGTATGTAGTGATGGAGGCTTGCCAAGTTTCTACCGAATGCATAAACAAAATACGAAACAAAGCTGAAGGATTTATGGGCCTTCGACCATTGACAGGCCCAGGCCAATGCAATCTCTTCGTTACTTACCTTGCGCAGAAGCTCCAGCGTTTTCTTGATGCGCACCACCAACAGATTAAAGCGATCCAACTCCTGCAGAAGGACCACGCCCGTGGGTGACAGGCTCATTTGGATTTGTTTTCGTATGCGCCAAGTCTCGAAGGCAGCGGGCAATTTCTTCAGGATGCCAGCGGCAACATTGTCGATGAAGTCGTCACGACTGATTCCGCCGGTGCCCTCGCCTGCGGATAGCAACAAATGAAAGGATATAAGCAAGGACAGCACAACAGCACAAATAGATGCAGACTGTGGTTATCACTGGGCATCCTTATTATTTAATTTCACTATTTATTTCATTTAACCGTAAACATTTATTAATTTGCTTTTTATCTGCTTTGTACTATTGATTACTGTATCTTCGCAAAAACAATTTTTTCCATGTTGGTTTATTTCTTTTTAAAGTGCCAATTAGCGCACATAATGCTCATGAATATGCAAATGCTCTGCATTTTTCTGAGCGCTACTCACAATTTGTAAGGTATATGTGTTTGGGCTTACCACTTTGAACATCTTTCGAAAAATGTTGAATTGCTGATCAAAACTAATTCACTAAATAGTATGTGTATTTACAGTTCTATCAAAAAATCATTGATGTCTGATTCTTGAAATGGAGGAAATGTTCATTATACTTGTATGTAGAAAGTTTGTAAAAATCTGTTTCTTATAAATTGAATAAATGGATAAGTCGTTGTATATAGGTGATTTATTATATACCGAAACTTACTAATATAAAAAGTGTGTGCATATTAAACTTGTTTTTACAAGAATACGTTGATCGAAATCGAGAGTCCTGTTAAATTTAGGAGTGCTCTGTTGTTATTCTTATGAATAAGGGGAAAATTCAAATCATGGCTTAATGGACTAGCTAATTAATTTTTGTTAAATGTAATAAATCAAGGCGTCTGATTTGTTATTAGTTATTTTAATTTTAAAGGAATTTTTTAAATATTGTTTACAATGTATAATATTAATTTTTTAAGTTCCTTGTATTGTGTCTGTTCACCGACAGCTTTGTCTGTACCATAATCTAGAACCTGTTATCGAAATGCATATTAATCGAAATCTAAAACTCTTTTAAAATTTATGCGTTGTTCAGTTTTAAGAAATTCAAGAATCCTATGCATAAAATGAAGATTTAAATCCGTACTAGCTCTCTTAAACGGTATGTTAGTTTTGAAAACCGAGTGGTCATAATTATTTACCTTCTTCGATCACGGCGTCGGTTGAGGGAAACTTGGTAACTTGGCCAATATAAGTCATTTAAAATATACCTTCTTAATGAAAATTAATTCAAAATATGAAGGCACATAATAAATATCAAAATAAGTTTTAACCAATCTTCTGTATTTTTAAATAAAGTAGTATTAAAAAAAGAGAAAAAATTAAAAAGAATGTGTTATATACAAAGAGTAAAACGAAATGATATTCATTCCCCACAATAATATTTTGAGCATTAGAAGATGCATTTGGCCCACTTTTTTTACTGGTTACAGAACATGTCGAGGATAAAATTTTACAAATCATCTATTTATCTAATACCGGAACAAAATCATACTGGTAGTGTTAATGGAATCAATTTAAGTTAAAATATTTATAGCGCTTATATATGTAGTTTGTAGTTCAACTCCTAATTTGTATTTTTTACAATTGTAGCACCTTGCTGTTTTGTTGAAACTTTACTTTATTTTTATCGATGCAGTTCACATGTCGCTGTGAATGGAAATAAAATGTCGATTGTGGACGGTAAATGTGTGTCGTTTCTTTATGTTATTTTGTGTTGTTGTTGGACTTTTTTATCGTAATCAGCAGCGTTTTACTTATTATTATTTCATTTAACTTTTTTCTTGGGGCATTAATGCAAATACTTTACCAGTTGGGAAATCGCTTGAGCTCGGCTCTGGCTTGGTTACTGGAGTGCGGCAGTGGGAAGGTGTTAAAAGTTGGTTGGTATTGTATATACAGTTATTTACAGAGCCACACGCTTAAACCTTAATACAAGTACATATATGCTATATAAATATATACATACATATGGTGTGTGGAAGTCTGATCAGGCTGTGCATGTGCGTATGAAAAAGACTAGTGCACTCTGATGGCGTTTTTAACACGTTTAAATTCGTAACGCAAAATTATCGACTTTTGTCCCAGTCAGTGTTTTTCCCCATTTTTGTTTTGTTTTTATCCTCTCAGATTGGTGCAGTGGCTGCTGTAGGTGGCTGGTGGCCAGTGGATGTGGTGTGGCGTGGTGGGGGAGTTTGAACTCAATACGCTGCTGGGGGAAGTAAGTGGATGGATGTTTGCCTCTGGTTTTGTTGCGTGTGTTAGTGTGTGAGTGAGGGTATGTGCGTGGCGTGTATGTTTGTTTGGTTGCATGTGTGTGCATCTATTTTAATTTTTAATGTGTGCGCTGCTGTTGTCGCTCGGGCGTGTGTTGGTTATAATGGCGCATGCAATAAAGTTAATTGCAAAACCGCAACTAATTAATTAAATTAAATTAAAAATTTAACATGCCAAAAAACGCAAAAGCGTCAGCGCTTGTGAAACAATAAAACGTACAACAATGAAAATCAACAAGATAAAATGTAATAAACGGCTGACAATTGGCATCCTTGCATACAAATCGAACTATTTTTGAATAAACATAAGCATCTGTGTAAGCAAGTGTTAAATCTGTGACTATGTGCGTGAATTTGTATACCCTGTACCCGTAGGGTAAAAAGGGTATATTAGGTTTGTGCACAGTATGTAACATGCAGAAGGAAGCATCTCCGACCCCATAAAGTATAGTATATACAAGTATATTCTGAATCAACATGACGAGAGAAATCGATCTGGACATGTTCGTCCGTCCGTCCGTCTGGATGAACGCAAGGATCTCAGAAACTATAAAATCTGAAATAACCAAAGTTTATCTGGGTACAAGGCATTTCGCTGTCGGGCTTGCTCGACTGTAGCGTTCTCTCTTGTTTTTTTTTGCTGCGGTGGAAGGGGGGGAAAATTAAAAAAAAAAAAAATAAACTCGTCCTTACTCGGACCTAGGAGAATCTGGATGCCAACTTATTCTAGCTTTTATAGTTTCTGAGATTCTCGCGTTCATCCAGACGGACGGACGGACATGTCTAGATCGATTTTTCTCGTCATGCTGATCAAGAATATATATACTTTATGGGGTCGGAGATGCTTCCTTCTGTATGTTACATACTTTGCACAAACCTAATATACCCTTTTTACCCTACGGGTACAGGGTATAAAAATAGTGATGTAAAGGCGGGATAGACATGCTAGTACACCCATATTGTTTCAGCATAGATAATATTGGCATCATAGTCTGCACGCGCGCACAAATTACAGGTCCCGTGACAGTGGCCTTCTCAGTGCGCACCTACACTATGATGCTCTACTTAAGCCCAAATATCAGCTTCCTAGCTCTTGCCGTTTCGGCTGTGGGCTGTTTACGCGGTTTTCTTTTGTGCCCCAGCATTCTTTTTACAGAAAAACTCCAATATATCATTCCCCAGAAAAAAAACCAAGTGTGCAGTTTCACTTGGAGGTTTTTCTGAAAATATACAAACTAAGTTTGAAGGTAAAGGTGAAAATTTAGATTTTTTCCCCCCTTTGGAGATAGAATTTTCAAAAAACGCGTCGTAAAATGACTACTGTTACTACTTTTCGAGTTATTCAAAAATGTATAAATTCATGTACGAGTATATTTATTATTTCTGGGAAATTCAGCTGTCTGGTAAATAGTAATTAACATTTGTTATCGGGTGGTTCGAGCTAGCAGTAGTTCAAAAATTCGATAAAGTGTTGCCAAAGCAACGCTTGAAGAATCACAACAAACCCATTTTCTCAATGCCAGGAAACGCGTTTGCCACAAATTCTGCTATTTTTGAATAAAAAAATGCATAAAATGTTTGACAAAGACGCGTCAAGTATTCAGAGTTCAGGACCGCAAAGCATACAGGAAATAGCGGTGAAGCTGGCAGAGGAGCAGCAACGTCTACGTCAGCTGGAAGCGAGCAGCGCGCCGAAGGAGCGCACCTTATTTGTGCTGGGCAGTAAGGGTGTGGTGGGATTGGAAATTGTGATTGTTTTATTTTCGCCCAACTTATAACCTTATATTACGACAGGGCAAGTCTACAGCAATCAATAAGTTTTTTGATCGAGAAGACCACGCCGCACGTCCTACACTGGCTCTGGAATATAGCTATGGACGTCGCATGGGCAGCGGTAAGATGGGTTCCTCGCAAGTACTCAATGTGTGGGAACTGGGCTCGTTGGACAATTCTGAACAACTCCTGGAGGTGCCAATGCGTTCGCATGGGTTGCAGCAGTTGGCCGCATTTATAATGCTCGATTTGTCGCAGCCACAATGTCTGTGGACAGATCTGGAACGCGCTTATAGAGGTTTGCGTGAGACCGCACAGACAATGTTGGAGGAGGCCACACCACAGCAGCGCGAGACACTAGAGCAGCGTGCTCAGGAGCGTGTGAAGCGTGAGAGCGGAAAGGGGGACGATTTGTATACACTGGAGCTATTGCCGTTCCCCGTTGTCATTGTGGGTGGAAAATATGACATCTTTATGAACCTTGAACCGGCTCTTAAGAAGCATATCTGTTGCTGTTTGCGCTCCATTTCACATCTAATTGGTGGCGCTGTGCTTTTCTACTCACAACAGCTGCCAAAATTGGCCAAAGTGCTGCGTGATACCATCAGTCATCTGGGATTTGGTAGTCCAGCGAACCCGTTTCGCGCCCACGTTACCGACTATAACGATGCTTTGTCGATTTGGTTTGGAACCGATAATTGGACGCGCATTAGTGAGACAGGAGCAATGAGTTTGGAGCGAATTGAAGCACGGCTGGGCCAAAGCGTGCCACAACAGAAAGCACAGCAACAAAACCAGCTACAGGATCCCGTTAAGGATGCAGGTTTTAGTGAGTCGATCATTGATGAGATGCGTGCCCAAAAAAACGAGGAGCTAAATGTCATTATGCGGGATGTACAGCTCCGTGGAAAGTTCGAAAGTGTACAGAACTGATCAATTTCGTAACTTTATCTAAGTAATTAAATCACATTTTAAACAAATTTTTGCCCTATGATTGTGCAAGTACATATCGTGCTTTAACGATTTCAGAGCAGTTCAAAATAATTTCAAAGATACTGTGTGGAAAGCGGCAAGTTAAAACACACATGCTTCAATAATGAATACAACTCCAAATGAATAGAACAAAAAAATAAAAGCCTAAATAGTGTTCTTGTGCAGTTCATGAATATAAATTGAGGGACTCACCCGTTTGGGGCTGCAATTCAATCAAACTGTTCCAAATGCTGCGTGCTGCCATTGTGTAATAACCAATTTCCGCGTTTGGATGCAAGCCGAAAACATCCGGCTTATTCACCAGTGGTAACTTGTCGATATGAGCTGTTGAATTATAAACAAAACTAGTTGTCGTCGACGCTTGAATAAAGGCACAGCTTACAAACCTATGTAGTCTTCCTTCAGAATGGTCTCCTCCTCGGGCAAGCAATAGTCCACATTTTCATCCTCATAGAAGTGGAATGTTTGGAAAGTGTCGAAGAGAAAGTCACCCATGTATTCACTCATATAGCAGTTGGTAATGCGTCGATCAAAATCATCTATGACGCGACCGCCGTACATTACCTCGCCTATGAGATACTTGAGACTGTTCCAGGGTATCTTGTCATCGGCACAGCGGCTTAAATAGGTGCGCAATATTTCCGTGCAAACCTCAAAATCGGAATCGTTAAAATCATACGCAATGTTCCAGCCCAGCTTGTCATATTTGCGACGCTCCTGCACGATAGGAAAAAAAATAAATAAATATAGTGAAACAATCAATAACTATTTGGCAAAATAAATAACTACGAGTACATAAAGAATTTAAACGATGCATTGGCGTTGCTGTTTCGTAGTTGGTCCATCAATTGTGCAACTCTGGCGCAGTTGTTGCTATGTTTTCAAAAAGCTTTTAACAGCAACAAATTAAGAAATTAATAAATAAAGAAGTGAGTGCTTGGATGCAATGCCCCATGAGTATCAGCTGTAAGGCATTTGTTTTGTAATTTAAGATGCTACAAATTCAGCTTGTAGCTGAACCGTTGAGGGCCCTTGAATGGCACTTACTTGCACAACAGCATGGAAGAAGGCCAAGACATAGATTAATGTGCGATATGCGCGATGTGAGCAGGCCTCCAGACGCTCTTGACGCACCTTGAAGTAAGTCGAGCGCAAATTCAACTTCAAGCCATTGGGTGGCTCGGTGACCACTGCAAACGAAATTTATCATTAGTTAACTTGGCTTTAAGGAGGGAGAATGCTTGCGCACCTTTCAACGACTTTTGCAGTATGCCAATTGGGAATGTAGGCGTCGGATCCGTGGTAATCCATAGACGAAAATCTGGATGCGGGGACTCAATCCTGTCTAAGTACTTTTCTAGCTCTCGCACGAATCTAATTAGCAAATGTCCATTTTGAAGCATCAGCCACTGACCCTGGCGTATGGCATTGTCCAGCAGTCTTAATGCAGCCTAAGGGGAAATAACAATATGAAGGAAATGGAGAACAGTGACTGGTATTTTAAACTTACCTTTTCCTGTCCCTGGCCCAGCGATATATGACAGAAGTTGGCCATACCGCCTATTACCAAGTCAGCTAGTTTTATGAGATCATTTGTGGGATCGGAGCCGGCACTGAGTATAAAACACACGGGTATCAAGCACGTGGTCTGCTCATATATGGCCGAAAAGCTGACAACAGGCGGCATAATATAGAACTCGTCCATGGTATCGACAATGTATTGATTAATAGAACGGAATATACGATCAACACGGAAACAGCGCAAGAACATTAGTTTCTGTGGAGACAAAGCTTTGTTTAATCATTCATCAACGTTAGATTATTTTTAACTTTAGGAGTAAAGAAATCAAGTTTAAAGTTGGAACAACCCCTTATTCTACATATGATCCATTTCCTTGTTGTTATATCAATGGAATGGAAAATAATTTTAAATATAATTCTACCAAAAGTATGTATATGATTTAAGAGAAAAGTGTTTTAGGTTCAGCTTAGCGCAAATATAGATCACAGTTAGTCTATGTCTATGTAATCCATTAGACAAAAAAATAATACAATGAAAATGTCGACGATGGTCCATCATAGTTCCTCAATAGTTGATCAAGTTGCTGCTGTTGCTTTTGTTGTAACTGGCATCCTTGTGGCTTTGAGCTCAACTCAAGTGCAAATTGGACTCGCTTGGCTTGGTGTTGCCAATGCCGTTGCCATTGCTGTCGCCGTTGCCGCTGGTTTCAAGTGCGACTGCGGGCGTAAATTGCCGCTCATCTAATGGCTTGGAAAATTGATAAAATATGGTAATGCACACACACATACACCGATGCAGACACATAACACACAAACACACATAAAGCCATACAGACAGCGCTGCTGGCTGACAAAAACAGGCTGCTAATAACTTGAGCAGAAAATGTGCGCCAAAGTTGCAGGACGTAGCAAAAGTCGAGTAAAACTAAACGCCTGGGCGGTGCTGTGACTCGAGCTATGTACCAGTGTATGGGGGTATGGGTGCGTGGGTGTGTGGCTTGGCTTGTACATAATAATCCACTAGAAACGAGCATAAAGTACGAAATCCAATAACGCTCGATGGCAACGACAGCAACGGCAGCCTTTCAAAGCTAAAAGCATGCAAAGCAAAAGTACACATAGAGTCCTAGCTAGCTGTTGGCACTTGCCTGGAATGGATTGCATTTGATGTTGTAGTCACCCGGACAGGCCACCTCCTCTGGATTCTCCAAGTCATACCACTATACGAATATAAGTCGATGAGTGCAAGTGCAACCAAATTGAACGGAAGCGCGAGAGAATTCGAGTTGTAGTGCATTTTATGGGCAGTAGTTTGGCAGCAGTTTGATAACAGCATTCAAGTTGATATCGACATCCCACAACGATGATGGCAAAATGGAAAACATGACAATTTAGCAATGTTGCAAATGGCGATTAGGGCAAATATGTACTTTGTACAATGGTCTTACCTCCTTCCAATCGTCAATATAACGGCCGAAGTGGTCCGGCAGTGAGCCGAAGGGCTCAGGAAAATCAAATGCTAGCTTGAGCAAGTCCTCCCAGCTCTTCTCCGGTAGCCATTTCGTGGGATTAGTGCGTTCGCTTTTTGTCAACGCTATAGAGCCCTTGATGAAGAAATCCAGCTCTTGTTGCTGCAACACACCTTCGCGTTGTGCCAGTTTTGTGGCTATTTGGAATGAGAAGAGCAGCTTGTGCCTTTCGAAGATACCTGTGCAGCCATAGCAGTACACGTTCTCAGTCAATGTTTTGATTATATTATTCAAACGCTTGGACAACACCGTATCTGGCACAGCCTTGCGCAATGAATAAACAAACACGTCCAGATAAGCGGCTAAGGCATACTGATACATGCTATTGACTGTGGCCATGTCCGCCAAGGCAAAGAAGAGGACGGCTCCACGCTTGGCAGCCGGTCGATATCCATTGCGAAGAACCTCGATGTCGGCGGCGGTTTCGGCCGCCAGTTTCAGCTGCTCCATTACAAGACTAGCCTTGGCTTTGGTATTCTCCAGGGTCTCCACCAGCTCCACATTGTCCAACATATTGCCTGTTGAGGTCGCCAGCTCACGCAGGAGTGAGTCCTCTAATTGTTGTAACAATTGTTTGTTTTCGCTGGTGCGGGCTATGAGCGACTCACGCTGCTGCTCCAAATCAGGACGTTCTGTTCCTACCACGACGCTAAGCAGCTGATCCTCGAGGCCAGTCTGGGTTACTGTATAATTTATGACTAGAGCCTTTGCGTAAACAGCCGGATCAAATTTGGGATTTGAGAATTTTGTTGTCATATACAAACGGAAACCGGGATCCCAATCAACCTCTTTGTCGCCCAGCATAACAAATTTTCGACCTGCATGCACTCGTATATTCTTCTGCATAATGTCGTCTATAACAGGATCTATGTAGTCGTCCACGTCTTCAAATATAACTGGTATGCCATACATAATGGACATTTCCAGTTGCTTGAGAAAGTCCGAGTCACTGAACGATAGCACCTTTAGATTATTTCGGAACTCCTTTTTCCGTATCCATTGCAGTGCTTGTAATTGCGGATCAATGCAGAGTGGGAAGCGCGAAGCTCTCATGGTGAGAATGCCATTTTGTACGGACAGCTCATCAGGTGGCAAGCCCTCGGAGGACCACTGCGAAATTTCTACATCGGTGGTCAGGTTCTGGTCGATTTTAAACGGCAACTTTACTGGTATGCCCAGAGAGCAAATGTCCTCAAGCCAATCGTCAAATACCATCGCCTTGCGGAACTCCCAGGTAAAGGCGCCGGTGTAAGCAAGGAACGACGCACATATTAGGCAAACGCCGACACTATCTATCAATTGCTGCCCTAAGTTCTCCATTTCTTTGCTCCAGCGTATGAGTTCGGAAGTAAGACCGCTGATAAGTTTATCTGAAGCAATCAGGCGACGTTCGGCTTGCTGCATCATTTCTGTCAGTGCCTTCATTTGTTTCATTGAAATCGCATAGTTTTCATTCAACTTATCGAGTTTCTCTTCTAGTTTTTGTATTTCAGCATTCAAGTGATTGAGCAGTTTTATCTGCACTTCCTGCTCTTCAACCAAAAAGTCAACGCGCTCTTTCTTTGGCTTGACCTCGCGATACACTTCGAAGAAGCCGAGCACAGCCCGCACGAACTTTAAGAGTCCGGCTCCCGCTATAGAAATTTTAGCCATATCATCCAAATTGGCGGTTTTCATATGTGCGCGGCAGGCGCTTATTTGTTTTTGGGTAAGTGCCTCGCAGTCCATTTCCATAAGACTCTTCAAAAAGCTCACATCGGACATCATGCCCTTGGCGCTCTTCCAATTTATCTCCTTGATGCCCTTCAAGATGGCTACGCATTCGCACACAACCTGTACTTGTGCGGGCGGAGTGGCAAATGAACGGATCTCTGTAATCTGAGCCTTGTCGAGCTCGGAAAGAGCACGACGTGCTTCCTCTAAGGCGGGCATAGCTTCGGCCAATATTTCTTCGGCTTCTTCTTTTTCTATCGCAATTTGCTTGCCCTTGATTTCAACTTCAACGGACTTCTCCGATGCCTCGGCTTTCTTTGTATTCGCTTTTTGGGTGGAGGCTTCTATGTTAACCAACATGGTCTCGCACTCTTCGGCTGCTATGGCTACATTTTTCTTTTGTTCCGTAACTATAAGGCGAAGCTCGTCGATTTGCACGGAGGCCTCCTCAATTTTCTTGATGCCCTCGCCCAGACGTGCACGCTGTTGAAGGATGAATGCATGTTTTTCCTCTAACAATGCAATATAAGAGTTAATATAGTCGAGGTAATGTTTGGGCGTAACGAAATTGTTACGTCTAAGTTTTGTCTGATAATCCTTGGAGTACACTTGTATAGTTGTGTGCACATGCACAACATGTTCGATGATGGCGTCGCGATGATCTTTTGGAATCATTTTATGCTCCGTAAGGAATAGTCGAGCGACAGCATAAAGCGCTTGTTTGGGCCATGGAAACACCCAGTCAATGTAAGTGCTGCCTATAAGACCGGGGAAGTTACGGCAGCGATTTCTCAGTGCATCTCCCGCAGGAGACATGCAAAGAACAACGTGCAGGTTTTCCGCGCAGGTGCGCAGGAAGTAGGCCCACACTGAATCCCTGTAAAATGAGGATTATGTGAACATCATTTAAAAGCAATATCTTGTTGCACTTGGTTCCTATGTAACGTCTCTTGACACTCACTTGGATGCTGAAAGGCCCTCTTCTTCGGCGAATTTGCGTACTTGATTGACAATACCATCTTTATCTTCGTCGGCAAATAGCGCGGGTACTTGGCCCACAGTCAATATATTATTGATTAGCTCCAAGAAGCCCTCTTCGGCAATCTGTGGGTATATTATTTTATTTCGGTACTAAATGCGATGGTTTCCGGACTCACCTGCGCTGCTGTAAAGAGGAATACAACTTTCTTACGCTTGACACCCGCCAAGGTGTACAATATTTTAAGATCTTCACGGAACGCAGCCTCATTGTATCCACGTGAAATGGTTATCTCGAAAACTTCACACTCCGCTGCAAAAGCCGACAGTCGTGTTATGCACTTCTTGCCACTACCGCCAACACCAATGAGCAGTACGTGACCACGATTCATTCTCAACGTGCGATGGACGCGCGTCAAATGCTCCAAACAATCCTCAAACAATACCAGCGTCATCTTTTGCTTGCGTTCGCTATACTCTTCGATTATTTCGGTAAATAGATGGTAGACTGAATTGAAGTCCAGTAGGTCCTCATAGAAGCGTGGTTCTGATTCGTTAGTGAAATTGCGAAAATCGCCAAAGAGCATTGGATCGCGCAGCACATAGTCCTTAAGTGAGAGTATCACTTGTGGTCCCTCGTCGGCTTCCTCTTCTTCTTCGCCCTCTTCCTCGCCCATAGCAGCAGCGGCATCGTCCGCATAGGCTTCGTACAGTAAGCGAGCTTGCGCTTCAGCAGCGGCTTCCTCCAAGTCAATGAACCCATGAGTCTCCTCAAATTCAGGTGGAAAACGATCTTCCACCTCCGAAGCTACATTGCGGCGCACTAAGTTGATGTCCTGCAACAAGGATATGTTAAAAGTATTAAAAATACTTATTAATAATTGATGTCCATTTTATTAAACACAACTAGTTTTGTTTGGAAAACTTGTTTTATAATTTTTGCGTTCAGACTCCATTGTTAAATTTTCTTAAACTTCTACTTTGGTAAGAATTATAGATTATTATGTTTACGTACCGTATCCGATATTAGTCGGTCGCAAATAATGCGTGTAAATTCATTGCGCCACACGCGTACGAACTCTCTCAGATTTCTGAAAAAGTGCGGCTGTATGAGCATCAAGCCCGCAAAAATACGCGACAAGTCCTTAAGATTGAAGATGTAATGGAATTTGGAGGGCGTCGGTGGCAGATCTATTATGACCAGCTACAATTAAAAGTGTGGTAAGAGAAACAGCAATTAGCATTAGAAAACAATACGAATAGAAAGGAGCCAGTCAACTAGTCATCTAGTTACCCAACCAGATAGTAAGACAGTTAGACAAGCAGCTGGGTGTCTGATTATAGTTCCGCCAGCAGCACTACACAAATCAATTTTATCTCGACTGGCAATATGCATTCAAATGTGTTATCCTCCTCTGCACACTGGCCCACTCTGCTCGATGAAGACGGCGAGCACGACGGGAGGTATTGCCAAGTTGGTAAATTTACAGCCATTATCGACTTGCTGTGCCGCCCTACCAGCAGTCTGAGTAACGACAATTCTATTCAAATAATTCATTTTACTCCATTTCGAGGCGCATTAATATCTTTTGCGTTTGCAAGTCGAGTGTGTAAAAAAGACATACGAACTACGACGCCGAGGAAAAGGGGACCGGCGGGATGGAGGGCGGTGCTGCAGGTGTGAGTAAATCATTTTTGGTGGCTTGAGGTTGGTCCACAGTTAGGAGTATTTCTTTTAGTGCTTGTGGCGGCAGTTGTGGCGACAAATGCATTTTTATCTGCACGCAATGAAATGCGATAATATTTTAGTGTCAACAATTGTTAAAAGCATCATAAACTAATGCCTGGCCCCGCCCAGTGGACACCGAAAAGAGCCATCTTCAGTGTGCATGGCGCACAGTTCGATACTTGAACATAATCAGATTTTTCTTGAAACTATTTGTAAGCGACCGAGATGTGCAGGCAGATAGGCAGACAAGGACACGGATACGGACACGTATACGAAAAGCTATATATATATATATATATATGTGTATATATATATATATATATATATATATATATATATATATATATATATATATATATATATATATATATATGAATACAGACGACACAGACACAGTCAACTAGGCAGCAGACGAAGCGGGTGACCATTACAATAGAGTGGGACTGTGAAAAGGTCTCGGCATCGAGTTGCCACTTGCTGCAGCAGCAGCATCAGCATCATCACTGCCGACAGAAGGAGCAGCTCGCACTCGAGGAACCAATGGAGCAATGGATGGCGCTCGTAGTGCATTACGGACAATTGAATAATTTCCATTGTACGGCATATACAGCAACGCTGCTGCCGGTGCTGGGGTGTTGGATAAGGGAGCGGCGAGGGGCAGCAGAGCAAAGAAGATTATGAAAAATTGTCGTTATTTGCATATGTAAATCGAATTTCATAAATTTGTGTGGCAGTGCTTGTGCCAGTGCTAGGACTCCTCAATTCCCCTAAAGAAATTGCGCATATACAAACCTTGAAGAGCTTCAGCGTCATCACGACAATCATGTCAGCTATCATATTGTAGCGCTCATGGAATTTACTAAATGTCAAGTGACCCTTAAAGATGGACGAATAGATTTGAATGAGCGATTCATCGTTGGGGAATACAATATTGTAGGTGGAGAACATGGAAATAAAACGCGGATCGACCTCATTGCGGCCTCCACCAGCAGTACCCATGGCAGCATAGAAAGTCATGTCCTTGAATTTCTTCCAGTTGAGATCTTTATCGCGGTCATACATTCCACCGCGCTCAAAGAAGAGCTTCAACAGGGCAATCGGCTGTTGTGTGCCATACCTGTGAGATGAAGGTAGAGAGTATAGAATAAGGTTAGCTGTCAACGTGACAGCCTGTCAACCTGCCTGTTATTTGCTCGGTTTACTCACTCATCGACCTGCGGCATGTTCATGTCATCAATAAAGCAGGCAATTTTCTTGCCCATTGGTGGCCCATAAGTATCCTTGGTGCGTTTTTCCACCGCTGCCTCTAACGTACGTTGCACATCCAACGATGAGGTTCTCGATGAAAAATTAATATTGAGTATGATCTGAAATGGTTGTGGGGGAGGGGTATGAGGAGGATGGAGGTTAGTATGCAGTCTTGCGCTTGTGTGGCAGAGATTTTTCAATTACGTTGACATTCGGATTGAGATTGCGCAAATATTGCATAATGGTTGCTGTCTTTGATGTACCAGCCTCGCCGACAAGCAGCACGGGACGTTTTATCTGCAAAAGCAAAGGGAAGCAGCATTAATATGAGGCCGTACTTCATCCAGTTAATCAGGTAACAGCTAGTCTGCCAGTCACCTAGCCGACGGCGGCATCGGTTTAATGACTTTTTGAGACGAACCAGACACCTCATACACTCACATCACTCATGAGTCCCAACAGGCGATTTGTGCGAGTATTATCTACGGTAGGTACTAGAATCTCACTAAATTTTACTTGAGGGTCGTGCGTGTATGGCTTCACAATCCACTCCCAGGCCTGCCAGCAGTTCTTTTCCACATCCCAGAAATAGTCGTAGAGCGTGGGCTTTGTCTGTGGAAATTGTCCGCCCGAGGCCGGGTTGTCTTGGGTATCTTGGAAAAGTGGAAAACCCGAAATACGTTTCATGAACTCGTCGAAAATGACTTGATGCTTCTCAAGCAAACATGCGCCCAACGATCCGTATACGCTCTGCAGAAAACAGCACTCCAGGCTATCTGTATTGTAAACCTTCACAGCAGGCTCATCCAAGGTCATACTATCTGGTGGGCCATAGATGGGCAGCATAGCATCATAAAGATTACAAAATTGGGTCACCATATTAAGATCCGTTTGCATGATAACCATTTTGAGGGGAAGGCCCTGCGTTGTACCATCGACGCCCTCCAATATGAATGCAATCGCCTGAGTAATCACCTTCTCAAAGAAATCGTTCAGCAGCTCACGTTGCACCTCGGGCCGCGTGAGCACCCAACGCTGCCAATAAGGACTATATCTCAAATTTTTTGGATCTACATAGACCATGCCAGCGCGTGACACGGTTGCGGGTGAGGCATAATTCAAATTGCCAACTTCAAAGAGCAGCGCACAATAGTTCTCCAGACGGATGCGCTCACCGTTGGCCAAAGTCAGCAGCTTGTTGTCATCCATGACGGAATTCATGTTCTCGATCCAGAGTGCATCAACATCGCCATCAAAGCAAACATAGCGTCGCTCCTGTGTAATGAAAGGGGTGAGATGAGAACTGGGCGGTTTTCAGTTGCATTACTCTAAGCGTGTTATTCATAGGTCGGGGATTATCGCAGCATGGCTGGTATCGCCGCTGCTGTCATCGGTGCTAAAGATTACCGTGCAAAGTCAAATGGCTGAGTAACAGATTGAGTTGCCAGGTTGCACAGTTTGTTTAGCCTAGAGTTCTCCACCCCTCCTTCAACATAAAATTCAAAGTACTTGCTGGCGCTGTATCTATGTATGTGTATACCACCATAGTTTGGCCCGTGCTTCGTTGTGCGCCGGGATTTATTAGCGAATGGCATGATTTCTGCATGAATGATGCCCTGACATAGACAATAGTATCCCGGCTGGTAGTCACGGCCCCCACAGGTTACCAGCCAGCACTCGCGCATATCTTCGGCTTTCGAGCGCACCTAGTGACAAAAGCCGCTAACAGCATCTGAATTGACATTGAGCGCCGGCATCGGTGACACAATTTGTGTGTGGAGGCTACTGTTGCAGTTCATTTCAAATGGGATTACTGCGGCTGTAGCGGCCCAGGCATCTCGTGACCTCTTTAAAGTTTAACAGCAGCGGGCGAGCATTTCTGAACCCCCTGTTTCCCCCTGTTGCGAGCACTTACCTCTCGTTCTACCGGCTTATTCATTTCACGGAAGATATTTGAAAACAATCCATCAATCCAATCTCGTGTTTCCATATCCAAATAGCCATACAATTCAATTACCGAGCATGCCTTTGAAAATGAGAGTAAGGCAGAAAATGCATCAAAATGTGTGTGAGTTTATGAAACTAGTTATTTTAAGCTAGGCTAAAATTCTAAGACTAAATCCTTACAACTAAAATCTTTGAATACCTTTGGTGTTAAAAGTTCGTGGACAAATACAACACTGCCCTTGGCCAATCAAAAATTAATATTATATTATTATTATTAAAATTTAATTATAAGTAGGTGAAGAAGATTAAACACTAATTTCTTGCCAAAGGAAGCTTTCAATGTTTTAAGAACGCTTTAGCTATTTAATGTACAAATGTGATATATAAATATTTGGGTACCTAAAGAAATAGCCGCATCCATTAATTCAAGCAATGCAGTTGGCAGAAAGTGGTAAATTGCTATTGTTCTAACTCATTATAGCAAAAAACATTTGCAATCGAACATTTTTGCAAGCACTTAAAATCTTTTCTCTGGATTGTCAAGCGAAATGTGACAGAAAAATGTCTAAAACAAAGAAAACTTCAACACAATGAAAGCGAAACGAAAATCTCTCCAAGCGCATAACCAACATTGCTGTAATGAACGGACTTGCCATAAAAAGAAAAAAGCACAGGACAATAGCTCTGTGTGTGTGTGTGTGTGTGTGTGTGTGTAAAGAAAAAAGTCCACTTACCTTGGGGTTAAGCACATTGCACTTGGTGGGCAGGCCCATGTGGGTTTGCGCTTTGACCAAAGCATTTATGACGACAGTCTTGCCGCCACCTGTTGGGCCCACAATCATGGTCGAGTGCCGGGTCATCATGGTTTCGTACATTTGCACCACTTTGTCCTCCTGCCGTATGCGGACACACAGTGGAGGTGAAGTGGAGGTGATGTTGCCGTTGGTGCCGTTGGTGGTGGGATTTAGTTGTCATAAATGATGTTGCGGGGGCGGTAGAGGGGTTGACAGCAATTGGCCAGCAGGAGCAGCAACAGCAACAACAGAAGTTGTCCGGTATAGAGGAAGTGTGTGACATTTGCGCAACGTTTTGTTTGATGAAAATGGCAAAAATTGTTGCAAAATGGAAGGTGGAATAGAACGGAGAAAATTGTATAAGTGAAAATTGTCAGCAGACTGAAGAGCAAAGTTGAAATTAGACGGCAATAGCTGTGGGAGCAGGGCAAGTTCGTTGGGTCGTCGTTGTAAAATGCTTTGTAACATTTCCTTCATTTGCGATTATGCGACAAAGCGCAATTTACAAAGTGTCAAAGTGTCAACGATGACAACAGCAGTAAGTGCGATGGGCATAAGCGGGGCCAACGGTTATGGCAGAGCCCCGAGCTTAGCTCCAATAGTCGGCACAAGCATCAGGACCCTGCCATTTGCTTGTCAGCTGCGTCATGACAACAATGGCAGGAGAAAGATGTGAAAAAATTGAATGGGCAGGAAATTCAAAACGAATACTATAGTCAATCATAGCACACCTGATCGGCCAGTAGTATGTAGCCATCATTAACCAGCACATGTCGCACGGCCGCATTAAAGTCTGGATAGCCAATGCGAGGACAATCTATGCCTGGGAACAGATCTTTGATGAGGCCCAAGAAGAGTGGCACATCCTCGAAAATGAACTTGGGGAAGTTCATGTCGCGCAGCACTCGCATTAGCACAACAGCTTCGGGAAGATCTTCGGACTGACGCTTCATGACACCAGCCATGCGGAGCACAGAGTTCAGTGACCGGAGACCCCAATCGTAATGGCACTGCTTAGAGAGTTGCGCCTGCGCCAGTGAGTACAGTACAGTCATCTTCTTGGCCAGCACCTTGGCGGTAAGAAAACCATCTGAGAAGAGTGATATAAGACAGATCAGTTCCAAATCTGGCTTTATGCAGGTGACTGGGCGGAATAAGGCCTTGACTGATTCGGGAAGCTCTGTGCGGCCTGCATATCCGGGATTCATGGTGACAAATACTCCGCATTTAGGATCCAGCTTAATCTCAACGCCTTCAAACTGAAAAGGTGGAAAAATTGTTTCAACTTGTTAGTATAAGGCACTTAAATATTTCTGTTCCTGATCCGCTTTTGCTACAGACCGACGAGTTATGGGTATGTGTTTTCAGATTCAGAAATTTAATAAATTTTTTTAGAGTGACGGGAACAGTACTTACTACAAAGCGTTCCAGCTTGCGTATAAGTCCATTCCGGATCGTCTGCAGTTGTGTGGAGATTACACTAAGCACAGATATATCAATACGATTGAACTCATCGAAACAGCCCCAAGCACCGCACTGTACCAAGCCGGAGAGTATGGTGCCAACAGCCCGGTAATCCATACCCTCGCCACAATTGGTAACCACGCACAGCAGTCCCATTGCCTTCGCTAAATCCTTTACGGTCTCAGTCTTACCTGTGCCTGCTGGACCCGCGGGTGCTCCTCCTAATCAGATATAAAGATACACCCACATGGAAATGGATGATAATGCATGTATTATTTACCCAAATTCATAAGAAGCGCCTGGGTTATGGTCAAATAGATACGATCCGTTAAAGGTGTGATGACCAGACGTCCGTTTAGGCCCATGTACTCATATCCATACTCAAATTCCCCGGAGCATTGCAGCACGTGGAGATTGTCGTAGAACTTGACCCAGTAAAAGCGCAGTTGACTCTCCCAACTAAACTCGCTGGCATCTAGAATATTGTCGCGCACAAAATTGTCGATAATATCGCGCGCATGCACATCTATGGTACAAAGGGCCTTGAACTTGAGTCGATCGTTGCGCGACAAATTCGATCGCACCTTCAGCACCAGCTCCTCGATCTGATAGTTATTCTTGGACAGAAAGTCCTTCATGGCCCGCATGTTGCCATGATTCTGAGCCTGGTCAAAGGCCTCCTCCACCTCGGCGGTCCACCACACTTGACTGGCCGCCAGCCCTACCATGCCCTGGTAGTTCATTAGCCAGTCGGGTCTGCGGTAAGATGAGGAGAAATCGAAAGTGGCCAATGACTGTCAATTTCATACAATTTGCCATAAATATGCTCATGCATGCGCAGGTTCGCTTAAGCCGCCACACCACGCCGATTGACGGCGCGGCGGGGGAGCTTATAAAAATAATAAATCGTGGCAAATGACAAAATTATACAGCAACAGCCGCATCGAACGCACACGTAACGCATGTGAATGTAAATCGCTGGCAATAAAAGGCGTTGGGCGAGACGGTCGCCAGCCGTTATTCGACTACCAGCACCACCCTACCGAGTGACAGTGATACCCTGTCTGATTGTTATTGTTTCAATGGCCTCTCCATAAAACATATTTTATGTCGGGGTCTTCACTTAATATGCGACCGCAACTCAGTCCTTCAGTCACTTACCTTGAAATTTCCAGATCGGTGCCAAAATCGTAGATGGCCGTCTTCGTTATGTAGCGATTGGAGCGCCGCATTTCATCCAGCACATCGTTCATCCAATGCTCCACACGGCCCTGAGCACGAGCTGCAATGTGGGGATAGGGAAGGAAAGGAAAGAGTAGATTAAAGGAAAAAAGGCAGTGAAAAATAAGGGTGACAGTGAGCGAGAGAGAAAGAGGGGGAAAGAGGCAGCCTGTGAGTTTGGGAAACAATGGCCACAAAATTATTGCAGAAACATAAATAAAGTGAGACCGAGGCGCTGACTTCCACGCAATATCAATAAGTGTATACAACAACAATAAAAATCAAACTATAAAAAGAACAAACAACAGCAGAAAGTGTAATAATCTCCAGCAGCGCGCGTCGGCGTCGGCTTGAAATTAATTAAAAGAAATTGGCCAGTCAGACACTCTGTGCGACGACTGTGCCCATAAAAAAGTTCAATTTTAAAATTGGCAATCAGTGCGTCCAATGCTCTGTTAAGGTTCGGAATAATGGATGGGCGTGAGCGTGTGACCGAATATTGCTGTGGGTCTCGTGATTTTTGTTTAACTTCAGAACGCTTACAATGCCCAAACTTATCTCTTAGTCAATCATCATTTCCCAATTTAAGCCTTTCTCCTATCGATTGAACTGTGGGGAGCCTGTAGAGTGTGAAATTTGGGGTTCATATACGAGAACGTAGTAGAAATAGTTTCTTTTGAAATAATCTAAAGTACTTCTCATACAGAAATGTGTAAATTCATGAAATAACTCTACAAGAATACTTCCGAAATCGCAAAGTCAAACGAAATGTAATCACATGCACATCTCTAACCGGGAAGTTAAAATTTTGTCTTTGGAACTTACCAACGTGGCGAAACTCCATGACTTCGCCCTCGCTGGATATCATAGCCGTCACAATGGTCAGATTGCCTTCCTTGACCAGCCGCAGAGACTTAATATTGTCGTACATCTGTGGAATAGAGCCAACGAACACCGAGGCATAAGAAACATCACGAGGCAAGAAAATTAAGTTGTGCCCACGCCACGCCAAATGAAAATTGTAAAATCAATGCGCAAAAACATTTTTATTTATAAGCCAAATAAATTCATAAAAAAGTACCAGAGTGCGGGCAAGGACTCTGAGTCGGATTGCCGCATGTGCTGCAAAAATGGCGTAATTTCCGTTGTGCTCTCAGCCATAAGCTGGCAAAGTAGCCAGCTAGCCAGCCGTCCAGTCAGCCAGTCAGTCAGGGCATGGACATTGGCCAGAACGCATAAACAGTGACATTAACTTTTATGGCATAGCTTACACACATACTCGTATAGCGACACTCACTCAAATATATATGCGCCCCCCCACACATGCACGCCCAGTCGTACATAAAAATAATGTCACTAGCAGTTTGGCAAATCTGTTGTTGTGCAACTGTAAGCGACAGTCTGCAACACGCCCCCACAAAACTGGTATCAAAAGCAGTGGTCCACAGGCCCCATATCCCATACCTACCTTAATGATGTGGTTCTGTACTGCAGATGGCTCACTGCTGCCCAATATGGAGAGCAGCTCATCGGTGGAAATGAAATAGAAACGCGGGAAAATGCGGCGTTTCGAGTCCAAATATTCGTTCAACGACTTCTGACAATTTTCCAATCCAATGCCCAAACCTTGTATTTCGACAAGACGTCCGGGTATTGAACAGAATGGCACCACTAACGGATTTTTGGCACAATCGACCATGATCTGCAGTGCGGTGATGATGTGAGGGAAAATGGGAAAAGGGAATGAGTATGAGAATGTGAATGGCAAACAATATATAATACACATAGTAAATTATAATGAAAGGCAATGAGCGCAACACAAACAAAACAAAGCAGAAAACACAAAGCACAAATAAAGAAAAACTGAAGAGAAAACACGAATGTCGAGAGCAAATCAAAATAATAAATCATCGCATAAATGGCATCAAATATGGCGGCAAATGTTGCAAATGAAACGTAAAGACGTCGACGGCCAGCAGCCAAAACTATACGAACCAAAAAGCAAGCGGCCAAACAAGCAACTACTAAGCTGGCAAGGTTAAGTGAAGTTAAGCGGCATAAACACACCCACTCATACACACACACACACACACAACATACACTCTGGTATTCGTAGTGGTGTACATTTGCAGCTAAGGTGAAAGTGCTTCGAATTTGTAAACACTGCGACAGCAGTCTGCATAAAGCATACAAGCATAAAGAATATTCCGAATGTATATATATATATATATATATATATATATATATATATATATATATATATATATATATATATATATATATATATATATATATATATATATATATATATATATATATATATATATGTGTGTGGGGTGGGTGGTGGCCAACACAATTACGCATACGCAAAGTGGTCGTTTGCATGCGTATTATGTTTACCGTTAAGTAAGGCGTCGCCATATTGTCGGCACACATTAAATAAACTCAAATAAATTGAACAAGAGATATTTTGGCAAATTCAGCAAATAAGCAAATAACATGAGCGAGAACAACCAGTCAAGTCAAGTGAAGTCAGTCTGTCAGTCTGTCTGTCAGTCAGATTACTCACCCTTCGATAAGCCTTGTCAATGTCATCAAATTTCCTCGCCTCCTCCGGCAGTTGGGTGCGTATGTCACCCCCAATGAAGATACCCTCTAAATAGAGCCACTTGCGCTGCACCACCAGCCACTCGTCAATGATCTCCGATACCAGTGCCAAAGACCGCTCCCACTTGTTTACCGTGCCCAGAAAAGGGCCAATGAATCTGTAATGCAATGTAAATTTTTGTGTAGGTTTAGCTAATGAAACGAAAACAATCATTAAATTGAAATGTACATTGTAAATTGTATATTGTCTTGTGAGTACGAGTAGTTGTTTAAATTATATACATGATTTTCTGGATTATTAGATTGCAGATACTCGTATAATACTCGTATTTAAAATGTCATTAAAGCAAAGCAATGCATATAAATAAGATAAATACATATGTGTATATTTCTGTTTACGTTTGAAATTGTTATAAAACAACTTGGGCCTAACAAGCACTAGTTCGAGAGTTTCAAAATTATAATAACACACAATATAATTGAAGAAAATATTCTCGAATAAAAATTACTTTGTCAGTTAAAAGCAACTAAACAAATTTTTTTTATAAATGTCATAATATATCTGCAGAAAGTGGGTTAAAAAATATTTAACAATCTAAAGTAAAATGATCTCTCATACAACAAAGCGCATTGATACCAAATAATACTTACTGGCTGGCGCCCATTGATTGCAAATTCATGGCATTATCTTCTAGGACTTGCGTGATCTCATCCACTGGTCCTAAGACCCAACCGCGATCGTCCATACCTTTGTAGTGTTTGATAACCTTAAACGCCATAACCGCCCAAGTTTCCTCGACGGCACGAACTCCGCGCTCAATTTGCAATTCCTTAATGGCATTGGTGAGTATTTGCTCGGCTATTTCCTGGTACTTGTGCAGTTGCATGGAGAACATGTTCTCGAGCGTGAAACGAGTCGGCGCCATGTCAAAGGCCTGTCCGGTCTTCTCCATCAGCTGCAACCAATGCCGTTCACGCAATGCTTCATGCTTCAAACTGACCATGAGCGGCACTGTGGCCTTGAATTGTTTCATATGCAACTCCAGATTTTGACCAACTGGCAGCTGGCGCACCTGCTCGTTGGCAACAAAGAAAGATGGCAGATTGCATGGAAGACAGAAAAAGTTTAGCATTAGCTTCGTTGGCAATAGCAATGGAAAATCAGTTAAAACAATACTGCGGTTGTTTCTGTGGTATTGGGCGCTTGTCATGCACTGCCGCAACCTCCTTGTTGAATTATGATGGACGCGTGCCATGCGCGGTTGCTCAATGGGACCATCGGTCCGCCGATCCATCGGTCAGTATGTCCTTTGGTCAGTAGTGGCAAGCGCTGGCATGCAAACAGAAGCCAAAAAGCGCACTCTGTTTGCGCTCTACTGCTTGCTTCTGTGCCTCTCCTAGTGTGTGTTTGCATGGAGCGTTGGTTGTTTGCGCATTCAAAATGCAGGCAGGCAGCAGGAAGGCAGGACGGCAGACAGACAGACAGGCAGGCAAACAGGCTTCGACAGGACATTGCCAGCAGCGGCACAAAAACGCGAACTTGTCAATAAGCCGCCGAATGGCTGCTACTCAAACTCTATAGTCCCCCCTGCCTCTGCCAGCTTACGTGGCTGCCTGCCACTGTGTTTATCCAATCTGCTTGGGTTTTAATTATTTTCAATACTGAACAAATTGGTTTGCATTTTAGGATGCTGATTATGCGGCAGCATTTGACAACGCCCTTGACTGGCTGACTGTTTGCGTTGCTTCTGAATGACGCTTGTTGCTGAAATATGACTGATAAAATGCACACACACACACACACATATATATATATATATATATATAAATGCGGGCAAACATACACACAGAGCATAACACGATATTTAAAAACGTCATAAAAATATGTGCTTTTCACTGTGGTCGTTTGTGTATTTAGTTTGTATATTCTGGCACAGTTAAAGAGTTAATCGAAGAGTGAGTGATTATTCGAGTCCATTTATCTTGACTCGAAATTAATTTGCTTTTCTGAAGATCTTATTTGAAATGTCCGCCCAATGAAATGGTGATATTGTTGAAATTATTTTTTCTTTTAATGTTGCCTATCATTGCGCGTCTCTCTCCACACTACACCCTCTCCGTACACGCCCATTAGACACTGTCCAACCCCTCAAAAAGTCACCGTCGCAATGGTAGTCAGTGCCCATTTCATTTCGTATGTAAAAGTTTTGAGAGCGCAAACTTTTAGCCAGCGAAATTCCTCAAAACTTGTTAGTCAAGTAAATAAATCAATTTGTCATAATCAGTTTAGGTGCAAAATTTTGTCGCTGCAAGGCCCGCCGTGCCTCCGTTGTGCTGTCCACGGCAAAAATTTTCACTTTTCTTGTTTAAGCAAAAGTGGAAAAAATTTTCCACATCAACGCAGCACAGAGTTCAAAAGTATTTGCAGTTGCTTTAGCAAGTGTTGGGGCATTGTTTTTTCATGCTCGCCGCTTTTATGAAAATCGACGCAGGCGGCAGGTCAAAACTTTACCTAATTGGTAAACTTTTGATGGTTCATAATATGGGGGCAGGGGCTTACGACTTACGGGCTTAGGTAATTTACGAAATTCCTTCAAGTAGCTCTCAACGCCTTCAGTAAGTACATTTGGATCCAAATCGGCCCACAATGTTTTTCCCCAAATCTCGCGACCATTCTTCTGGGCTTTGTACAATTTGAAGATCTAAAATATATAATGACGATTATGTAGTATATTATAAAAAATATAAAACGTAATAAAATGCATTTCGGTTTCCAAAAACAAACAAAAAATGGCAAGTCTGCAAACTAGCTTTTAACATATATCCTATCAATTAGAAAAGCAGTCATAACAAAGCTAGCAAAGTGAAGAGAACTTCGCTGCGGTGAATTGTTTTGCGCTTAAAACTTCTAGTACTGACCTATTTTTTGTAAGCTAAAACCTATTAATCTTCTGTTAATTTAAAGCTAAGGACTTACCAATTGCAACCCTTCGTACTCGGTCTGTACGCGCCCAAATTCATGATAATCCACCATGGCCATATCAAAAAGACGCTCTGCATTGGCCAATTCTTCGCGGCGAGACTCGTGATCTTTAATTTTCTGTCCGTACGGATCCATTAGGCGCACGCCACGGTCCAGCTCGGCTCCCACAGTTCCGGGCCCGTTCTGATCCCAGTCCTTGATGAAATCACCCAACTGAAGGAAGAATAAGATGAAGAGCTATTGTAGCTAAAGGACTGCAAATGCAGCGGAAAGTGGCTGAATTTGATTGTTGCGCTTTGCGCGGGCGCGCCACGCCTTAATTCAAATAATAAACACTTCAAGTTAATTCATTTTACGCGAATGGTTGACGCTGACGCTGACGATTCTACTGACAATTGACAATAATGGTTGAGCGCGCGGAAAAATCCAATTAAAATGCCATTGAAAGGAAATAATAATAAGAGGAAACAAAACAGAATTGTAGAAAACGCAGAATAGCGGAAATGCAAAGTCGACAGTTCCCGCCCCAGCTTGTAGGGGGTTGTAATTGTGGGTAGAGCGACGACTGATTGACGACGACTGTCAACAGCCGCCAGGCAGTCTTTGTCAGTGTTTGTTAACTTACATTATCGCAAAATACTGTGATTTCTACAGCAGTCATATCGGCAAACTTCTGCTTAATTGGCTGAAGTTTCTCCGAGCGGTATAGGGCCGAAAGGAACAAACGCTTCCAGCGCTTTTCCAGATGATGGGCCATCAGCATGTCCTCGTAGGGAAACTGGAAATGGAAATGAAAAATCACATTAAAATTAAGCGATGTTCTTCAATTAACAGCGAGTGCAAATAATAATCATGAAAAGTGCCGAAATGCACTAACGAGCACTCAAGCGTGCCAGCCACACTCGCATACACATATAATCCAAAAAAGAAAAAAATCATAGCATAGCTTTCAGGGCCAATTGTGTGACCACGGTTGTGGTCGCTGCATAAATTTTCATTTGCCAATTGCAAGGTCTGTATATTTGAGTGAGTGTGTGTGTGTGTATGTATGTATTTGTTCATTCATACATTAATTTATATAAAATGCAAGTTAATTCCGTTTTGTCTGGCCAAGAGCTAAGCGCAGCAGCCGTCGGTGAAATGCCATCAATAAATGAACGAATGTGCAGCAAACCCAAATGGCGGGCACACCCACATATACAGATATATACGCAGTCGAAGTCCATTGGTCGACTGACCAGTTACGTAATAGCAGATATGTCCATTTGTGTGTGAGTTTTTCGTAAAATGCAGAAGCCATTTGGAAATGGCAATGGCAATGGCAATGGGTGGCCAAAATATGCATATGTAAACAGCAGGGGGGAGGAGAGTGGTTAGAAAAGAGCGGCAGTTATAGTAGGAACGACTTTTAGGGTATTTCTCTTAAAAATCCTCATTTGAATATACAAATAACTGACACTGCAGCTGACGCAAATTGCCGAGGAGAGTAGGAGCTGTGAGGCCAGTGAGCTGTGTAGATTGGGTACAGGGGCTGACCAGACTTGAGCGACGGCGGTCGAGTGGCAGCTTGCAGTTAATTTCATTAAGCGTCGAGCGACTTACCATGATTTTGTGCTCGCTTAGCACTGTGAAGGTCTCCTGCATTTCGTGTATTTTTTGCTCGTTCGTTAGCGTGGTCGATTGTACAGTGGCAATTGTTTGCATTACCAGCTTAAAGTCCTCTAGCTCACGCGTTGTCTTATTTAGATTTAAGCTGAGCGTCTGCCGGCCATAAAAACGAAATGGGAATTATTGGATTAAATGCCTCGCACTCGTATTTGTACTCACTTTGATTTCGGAGCGCATTGCCTTCATGTTGTCATTAACATGGCGCGACAGCTCCTCACCCAGCTTGGTGCACCATTCTTGAGCATGTTCCTTTATGCTGTCGAGCAGGGGCTGTAAATTTATGCGAATACAGCATACATCATGATATGGGCGCATGCTGGACAGTGTGTCTATGATGCTGGAGTAAAATGTAAATTTCTCATCGATCTCAATGAGTGTGACTTGGCGTTCGACAAACTTGGCGCATATCAAGGACTTATCGTACGCCCACAGATTGAAATATTTGCGAAATCTGTAAAAAAAGGGGGAGTGGCATACACATAGCATGTTTAATTTTGGTTACTCACTGCACCACAAACGCCTTGGCTTCTAGTACAACTTTGTGGGCCAAATTGTGTATTTGTACAACAAGATCAATAATATTATTGATTTGTACAACATCTTCGTAGAAGGTATAGTTGAATTTCCATTGCGTACCCGTCTCGATGAGTGGGCAATTGAGGCAGGTTCCCATCATCCACCGCGTGAAGATTTTCATTCTGTTAGCGAAATATAAGATTTCTGACTTTCTGCTGGATAGAGTGTGATTCGACTCACCGCGATAGATAATCTTTGGCGGCTGTCACAATAATGTTCTGAAGTTCATTCACTGATGGTTCGAGCACTATTTCAGACATTAAAAGAACGGCGTTTACCTCGAACATGGGCGCCTTCGACAGCAAACGACTAATGTAGCACTTAAGGTTCTGATAGGTCATGCTGTATGAGGTGCAGAAGCAAAAGAATTAGTTAAAGATTGTTGTTATTTTACTGCACCTACTCAATAATGCATTTGTAGGTCTCATCCTCCCAGTATTCGTAATACATTCGCATTTTCTCCGACCGTCCTGTAAATGTGCCCAGCACCAAACTCTCCAGCTTGATAAGCACAGGCCCTAGCGAATCGTACAACTTCTTCATCTGGGCTGCTTTGCGATTGCGTGACTCTTCCAGGCGTTCAAAGTAAGTCTGACAGTGATAGATGCCCTTGCCGCAGGCTATTTCTTGTTGCTTTTCCTTTTTGTCGTGCTCCTTTTCAGCGACTAAAATGGTTATTCTCTCACCCGTGGTCGACTGGAAGGTCCTAGTAGACTTATTTGTGCGAGATTCGTTCATCCTAGGGTTTGATCGCGAAAAATTCAATGTTGATGTAATGGGTGCAAGCGAACTTTCCTCATCCACATTATCCAAGTTAAACAGATTAAAACTTTTGATTAAGTCAATACGATTGCGCAAGTCCAAACGAATGAAATTTATTTGCGAAACTATGGATGTTAACTTGCGGAGCTGCGAGTTTATTTGCTCACAGAACTTGCCGATATTGAATGACATCCAGGTATAACGGCCAACGCCCATTTGAATGAATAGTTCGGTGTCGTAGATATGATCGCGTAGGAAAATAACCTCCGAGAGTGACAAATTCGCAATAATACTATTGTAGCGCTCTATTACTTCGGTAAGCCTTTCGTAGTCCTTAAATAGAATCTCTTTTTTCATGATACCAGTGCGCAGAACTGATGGTAACTCAAAGCCCAAGTGCTCAAACAGTTGGCCCTCAAACATAACATCGAAAATTTCACGATTCAGATTTACCTCAAAGTTCATGTGGTACTCGATTAGCACGCGATCTCCAACGAGCTCTCGCCAAATAGGTAGCATTTTTTGAGCTTCAGCACGCACAAATACTGCAAAGTTTGAAAAAGATGAGGAAGTTATGTAGAAGAGAGCCATTTCGAAGAATATTATTTTGGGTAAGCTAAGATTTAATATATGTTGCACCTATACCTATTAAACGTATAAGAGCTGAAGAAAATACACTTACACTCGCAAGTTTGCATGCACTCCCTATCGTACGGCGTTATGTCCTTCGACTTTTTGTCCCTCATCAGATTGAGGTAGGCCAATGCCTTGCGTAACTGTACATTTGCATGCCTGGTCTTGCTTACTATCCACATAATCATGGCCGTGACGACGGTAAGCTTATTGATTTTGCACATAAAACCAACTTGACCAGCTGGTTCGGCCATATCGTTAACAGACATGCCGCTATCGATAGATCCAGTGAATGAGGCCATCGAAGATGCGGTACTGTTTATTGCTTGAAGGCTCACTTGTTGACTTGTGCTCACCCGGCTGGCACTCGACTCGCGGTTCTTGGTCTTAAGAGTTTGTGTGGCCTCCGTTATGTATGTAACTGTAAGGTAGATAAGATAAATATTGTATAAAAAGTGGTCATTGAGACTCTACCAATATTATCGTTGCATATGTGTAAGCTCAGTATATTGGATCGATTTGAGTGGTTTATCAGAAAGGTCGCGGTCTGCAGATATTTCTCAAACAAGCCCTTCTCGAACTGAAACATTTTAGTCATTAATTCGAAGTACTGCTTGAAGGCACTGCGTTTCAGAAAGCTGTGCTTAAGAGCTGGATCATCATCGACCTGTTTAAACGCTAATACCGAATTTTTTAGTTTTCTGCCCAGCAAGCGGGCCCAACATACAGCTCCTATTTTAGCTGGCTGGTGCTTGGACATTGGTGGAGTTTTCTTGTGGTTCTGAAAATATTAAAATAAGCAGCTCTCGTTAAATGTTCAATGTGAATTGGGATGCACAAACACCTACCGTAAAAACATACTCCACGGTATTAATTTCAGTCACAAAATATCGGAGCAGGTTTTCGTGTTTTGTCGAGATGAACTCCTTAAGTGCCGATCGGGTATCAATCATATTGGCATTGGTGACCAATTGCAGGCCCTTTGCAGACGAAAGCAGCGAATTGATGCTTTGATCGATTACCGCCTTCGCCTCCATCTCAAGTCCCTCGAGGCGATGATTAAACTGTTCTAGGGAGTATTCCCAATTCTCCCAGTTGCTTGGCTGGAATATGTCATAGTCTATGCCGTGCATAAGCTCGTCGAGCATGCGATAGACCTTTCGCATTAAATTGTCCACAATCGACGGGTCTGTGATGAGTGCCTTTAAGCGATGTCCAAACAGATTCTCATATTGTATGAACACACGACCGATGTAGGCGATATCAACGGCTACGCGATGTATGTGATTGACCTCACTGAATAGGGCCACACGATCGAACTCCCAGCGGGAGCCTGCTCCAGATTCCTCAATATGTTGCCGGCTCAACTTGTAGGCTTGCTTCCAACAGCGCAACAGGTTGGCACAGCTGGTGGCTGTCTCATAAGTGTAAGTCGCAGAGTAGCTGTCGAAAATACAATTTATATTAATTACTTAAGTAGTTAATTATTTAAGTTTTCTTTCCCATAACTAAGATTACATATCTATCTTAGTGTATGTACCCGAATTTTAAGTATACATAAATATAAGTTAGATTTTTGCAATGTTTAAATGAATTTGCACAACTTACCGAAAAATGTTTTCGAAGCATATGAAGCTCTTGACCTTCTGCACAAACACATTCGAAATCTGGCAGAGGAGCACCTGCATTTCTGGGTCCCGGCAATAGTAGCTGGACATGGTCCAGATGTGTCGCAGACCAACCATCACATTCGGTATTTGCAATACGGTCATCTTAAAGCTATCGTAATTGCGTATTTTCTGCAAACGATCTGTCAGTAAAGCCATAGACTAATCAATGAGTTCACCCACCTCCAGATAGTCCGTGATTGTACCCAAGTAGTCCGAGTTCTCTTTAGCCAGTTTGAAACGCTCTTCTGTTTTGGCCAGTACAGCATCCCAAGCGGGCAGAATTGTGGAATTATTTGTAGCCAGACTATCGAGCACAGCCATTACAAAATCAGTTTTCAGCTGTTCGAGCGTGCTGTAGAGTTCGATTTCCATCACGTGCCAGTAACGATATTCCGCCATGGGCGTAAACTCGTCTAGTTTTTTGTCCTTTAGTGTTTTCATGGTCGTGTTCAGATATTTGATCCAACCTTCTACGACCTCTTCAAGCTGCTGTTGCGTGTATGTCGGTACTAGTTCGATTTTTTTTGGATCTACGGGCACACGGATTATGGCATCTTCAAATTCCGTCTCTTCCTGCCCGGGCAAAATATATGAAGTGGGCAGATTGAAGGCCCAGACTATGTGATTAATCGTCCAACCAATTTCTTGATCGAACTCCTCAATCTCCTTGAATAGGCGTCGCTGAAATGGCGTAATGCGAGGTGGCGTCGCCTCTTCGGCTGCATGCTCTGCTACCACCTTTGCTTTGGTCTCGGTCAGCAGTCGCTCCCAACGCTCGCCAATGGTCAACTTCTCAGGCTTTTTCTCCTCTTTTTAATGCAATAATTATAAAGCAAAAAAAATGTATAAGCAAAAAGTTCGTTACTTACCCTCCTCCTCAGACGAAGATACAAAATCGGTAGCTCCCTTCTGTTGCACTTGCTCGGCCTCTTCCTCATCATCAGCATCACCGTCAGTTGGTTCGAGTTTGGATTTTGCCCGCTCCTGCTTCTTGGCCATGGCTTCGAGCTCCTTCATCTTTCTGCGGCGAAACAAAAAAGTCGCTAATATAAAAAGAGAACCGAGCAAAAGCAAATAAACAAACACAATTAAAGGCGTAAAATCGCGAACGATGCCAGCCACAAGAGACTGAAAAAAAAAACAAGCGAAATAATGCGCACAGTTCGAAATTAACACAAAAGTAATGAAAAGCCACTGATAAGCGAAATGAGCAACAAATACAAACAACAAAGGCGAAAGCCGCGTTGAAACAAAGGACGTAGCAAAAAAGGATGCCAGCGGGCCAATGGTTGGAGAATGGAGTCCAGAGTGGCCCGCTCTACATGTGATTCTGACGACAGCATTTTAATCTGACTACCTAAAGAGCGGCAGCAGGAGGAGCAACAAAATGGTGCCAAGTGAGCGAGCGGTCAAGTGGCGGCCATTTTGGATGCAAACGCGTGAAAGTCGACAACGCTACGGCGACAAGACAATGAAAGGGCATGGACATAAACAGGGGAATGAATGGATGGGGCGCGGCAAGGCGCGGCAAGGCGTGGCAGTGCGTCGGACGTGCCATAAATGTAGGCTGCCAAAAATGGACAAGGGCGATGACGGTGCCTTTAAAGCAGCTCCCTCCCTCCTCCTTCGGGCTTCGTCCTTCCTCCTCCCCCACCCATCCCTCTCATTCTCACCGGACAGCTTCTGATGTTGCCATAGCTGTCGCTGTTGGTGGTGGCGCCGGTGATGGTAGCATGAAATCCGATTAAAAATAAAATTTTCTTATCGGATGTACTGTAATTTATGTGCGAAAAGGGTTATGCGGCGATGGCGGTAGCATCGTTGCTGGGGAAAAAAATCAACCAAAAGAGGAACTGTAGCGATGGCATGCAGCGATAAACGCAAAACAAAGGCAAACAAAAAATTTCCCAAAACAAAAAAAAAAACCAAAAGAAAAAAAAACAAGAAGTAGACAAGCGTGTAAAAGCCAGGCTGTGAAACAGAAGCATGAAACCAATAAAGCGCGGGCGCATGTCTCTCGATTCGCCCCCTTCCCATTCATCTGTCCAATTGTCCATTCGTCGAACTATGGGAGCCAACCGAGCGAACGCTGCGCCGCGTTTCCTTTGTTAAAAGTTAAATACTTTTGTTGTTTAAGCGCTTTCAAACGAAATTCCGACGGTTTGGATAGCTCCAATAGACCCGGACCCGATTCCTTGGCCTCGCTCGAAACATCCTCGCCGCCAGCGTTCCCGGCATCACCAGCAGCGCCGCCAGCACCACCCGCCTGGCCCTCATAATTGTCCATTTGTTGGCTGTCCATTGTAGCCGGCTCGCGAAATTGAAATTGAATGAGGTTTTTGTAAACCTGCAACAACAAGAAATTAACGGAACTGTGAACAAATTGTAAAAAATTCACCAATATGTACATATATGTATGTATGTACGTACATACCAGCGATGTTGCATGCTTGTATGTAAGTGTGTTTGAATGTGTGGGTGTGTGGGTGTTTGTGTGCGGCGTTGCGGACGTGGCGGTTTTGTAGATTTTCTAATTGATTTGCTGCGTTGCCGTCGCGTTGATTTACGAAAACTGATTTCCAACAAAATGTCCATTTATTCTCAAACAAAAAGCAAATATTATTGAGCGAGGGACTCGACCTCCGCCTGACCACCTTATCCCCCCAATGGCGATATCATCTTTTTTGCCAGCGCAGTAACCGCACAATTTGCAAGCGCCAAAGGGCAAGATATGGCATAGAATGAGGAGCCAGCCAGTCAGCCTAATGGAAACCGCAGCGCATTTTGGTAGCTATGATGAAGCAATTTAAGTCGACAGCGGCTAAGACGATGGGCGTGAGTGCTGGGGTGGGGATGATGGACGCTGGATGGAGGCTGGGAGTGGGGTATAGAACGTTATTTGCCTCACTGTGCAGTCGAGCGGAAAAATGTTGCGCCACAACGGGCATTTTGATAGATGACTGCCTTGTTTCGGAATTAATTACAATTCGTCACAACATTTTGTTTTGCGGCTGTGCAGCGGGCTAGGAGGGAGGAGGAACGGCATGGACGCACGAACGTACGAACGCACGGATGCACGGTCTGGTGAATGGAATAGGCTGCCTTCGAAAAACAATGGCCTGGCGTGAAACCGTTGGTTGATTGATTGAATAACGCTTTATGGTGTGTGAAATGAGCGACGCGGCCATAGTAAGTGCAAATTTGAGCGATTTCTTTTGATTGTGTGTTGTCTGTGGCAAGAGAACGCGTTCACATTTTATGGCACAGAGCTTACCAAGTTCAAATCCTGTCGCAGGGAATTGATGAGCGTGCCCCGCACATTGCCAATCAGAAAGAGCAGCGGCATTTCGGCAAAGCATTGCGTTATCTCACTGAACCAGGCTGCAATTTTACGATGTATTTAATGAGCGCCCCCGCTTCGTGGGTGTCCTTAAGGTCAAGTTACTCACGTATCTCGCGCGCATTCTTTCGCACAATGTAGACATATCGAACGTTCGCCTCCAAGTCGGTTGATTGCATAGGACCAAAGTGACAATGTAGCAATGGTGTCTTTACATAGGCAGGCACTATTTTCTACGAGTTGAGGAAAATGCACACAACAAATATTTCAGTGTCAAACTCAACATAAGGAATAACTTTGTGTTCCGTGTTCAAAAATGGGTATTTTATTATTACTTTTAAAACTTTATTTCACGACTTCAATTATATTTTCTTTTATTTTCTAATTATTTGGATTAAAAGGTCCAAATCATATATTTGTCCTACAATGTCAAAAGAAGCTTATCCTTAGATTTTTTCAGAAAACACATAACCATTAACAATATGACTTATAAGGATATATTAATTCATTATTTCCGACTGTTAGAAAAAAATGACATTCTTGTAGGTGCTAGACTTACCTTCACCTCCACATAGACTGGAACATAGGTTGACTTTTTCTTCGTTTTGCGGCCTGTTGTAAAAGAAACCAATTAGCAAGGCTACATAATCAGAAGGGGCGTGGCAGCTACAAGGAATTAGTACTGTATGTGTGTCGGTGGTGATTGACGTGCAGAAAGGAGATTTGCATTGTCCACTGGCCGTAAAAGCTCCATTTAAATGCAATGAAACTTTTTCGGTTATCTTTGTGAAGCGTCGAGCAAATCAAATGAGCTGCATTTTTCCTATGGTTGGGAGTGAGGAGTGGTCGCATTTTCAAATTAAAAGTTACAAAAGAAATGAGAATTTTCCTCAGACAAAGAAAATGAGTCTTTTAAATATTTATGATGTGGTGTGGTGTGGTGGACGATGAAAGTGGCTAAGAAGAATTTCGTTTAATATTGCCTCAAAATGTATACGTTTGCGTTGTAAAGGGAAACGTAGTGGAGAGAGTGCTTCAAAAGTACTAGCGAAAGTTTCTAAATTAAAATGTAGCGTTGAAACCAAAGAAAATAGGCAAAGTAAGGCAATGCTGAGATAGTATGGTACGCTGATCATATTTACCATCTTCCGTGTCAGAGCTGGCTGTATGGGTTGTATGTGGTCAAGAATATAGTTACTATGTGTTGTTTGGGTGAAGGTCTGGGTTTCTGGGGGGCCTAGCCACTTACGTGAGCGCTTTGAGCGTGCCGAACTTTTGCCACTGCCCGCTACAGTGGCCTCCTCTTCACCCTCTCCTTCGCCTTCAACGTCGATATCAGCATCGGTAGTTTCGCCGCCCGTGTATGTGGCCTCTGTTTCTGTGGCATCCTCGAGGGCACGTGCTGAATCCATTTCAGCTGGAGCTACGTCCTGACCGCCTTTTTTGCGACCTTTGGCCGCAGCTTTTGGTGCTGCAGCCTTCGCGGCTCCTTTGCCGCCGGCCTTGGCATCTCCCTTCCCCTTCTTCGACTTCTTGTCCTTTTTATCGGGCACAGATGGCGGTGGTGGTGGCACCTCCTCCAATACCGTGATCTCCTCTTCCACCAGCTTATCGTAGAACGTACGCCATACATACAAGACCACACGCTCTATCTCACTTTGATTCTCGAAGCGCTTATTGAGAAAATCATCGAAGGCGTCGGCATTCAGTTGCACCAACCGATTCACGTGCACCGGATCATGCACACCTAACTGACTGGCTATAACGTACTTCAGCCAGACAATGCGGGGCTCATCGTTGGTGACCGAAGCCACCGAACGCGAGTCCAGGCCGCTGACAAAGCTCGTATCCGACCGAGAGTCGCTGGATTGCTTTGCTGAGGTGGCGTCGAGATTTAACATTACCGATGACATTTTAAAGCCGTCTTCTTGATATCTTTATTCCTGTTAGTGGAGTGGCAGATTTTGGGGC